CCACACGCTGAGACCTCACCACAACAACAGCAACACGGAGCGGCGGTAGAACTGTCGCCAGACGGAAGTGGACCGCATGCAGGGAACCACACCCAACCAGCCGAGCTGGAGTGCCTGCACTCCTCAGGAAGGGTGCCAACAGGGCGCCCCAGCACGTACAGGGCTGGACGTGAGTGCCTAGGGACCACTTTTCTGCCCCAGTACCCCGCGGTGTGCGTTCCTCGACTAAATGACGTCACACCGGCCGTCCATTGAGCAGGTTTCCCAGGGGAGTAGATTTATGATGTGGACACCCCGGGAGATCGCTGAGCCGCCATTGGACGCGAAACCGGGGCCGGGCCTTCACCAGGCGACGAGCTTCATGATGAAGATAGAGAGCGAGTCACAGTGAGGCGCCGGAGCTAGTAAGGGCTGTTCAAACATAAATACTGTTCACAGCTCAAACCCTCCAGATCTCGACACAGGGAACCACTTCGCCGCCAGGGGAGAGGAGGGATACTGGAACTTCCGGCTCCCCCCGGCAGACACTGTTTACGCCATCCAGAAAGGAAGCGTCACCAACGTCGGAGTTGCATGACACGGCCCCTCAGCCGAATATGAATATCAGATTTATTCTGTCATAACTAGAATGCATGCTACAAACTACAACGACGCCAAACCGCGTCTGCACTGCCAACGTGTGTAAAATTCGAGCCGTCGCGAGCCCCAGCGCCCGCCCGAGAGCGGCGGGCGCGGACGCGCGTCTCACGGCCGCCGTTTCTCCGGCGCGTCATCCCACCGCGTTCGCCGGCAGACCACATCCGGCGTGGGGCCGGCTCCGTCTCCGACCAGACGTCCAACACGGAGCGATCGTCGCGCACCAAGCGGTCGACGCGCGAAGCTCCGCCGGTGCAGTACCGCGGCCGGCCGCCGCCCGACTCGGAGAGCACGTCCGGCTCGTCGGAGAGCTCACAGGGCACCAAGGTGCCCACCCACGCCGGACCAGGGTGAGCGGGGCGATGCAGGCGACGAGCAGGTGTCACAGCGTCGCGGGGGTCACACGCGTACTGGTCGACTCGAGGGGCATCGCAGTGTAAGTGCTGTGCCAGCATCGAGACAGTGCTATGTAACTCATTTGCATCGCATTTTACGTAACGCATTCTACGCCTAGTTGGTTAGGTGATTTAAGACGGCGTATTTTAAGATTGTGAATTGTGGGGTATAGCCTGGCTCGATACGTCTAGGAGGGACAATGGAATCCGAAATTCGTGACACCATCTTTTAATTCCACGGCGCAAACCTCAGACAATGCCAATTCGTGATGCATGCGACATTGACATATTATCTCGTACTAGCGCTGTGCCGTTGTCCCTTTAATCGTGCGCAAACCGTGCTTTAGTATCGGTCCACCCCCCCCCCAACCCCCAACCCCCCGAAACGTTGTAGTGGTGTTGCTCAACCTGCCAGATCCCGTTCCACGGCATGACGCGGCTCCTCGATTAAAACATCGTGCTCTCCTCCAATGTCACGTCATCCACGAGCGACCCTTGGGAAACTCAGTCGGGCATTGCTCCGTCCACAAGACCCCATGCCGTGCTGCAGTGTTGCTAAATCGTGATATCCTGTGTCGTGACTCGTGATTCAGGATAGTTCCGTTCGTGGCAGCTTGTACCCCTTCGGAGTGTTGCCCAATCAGTGGTACCCCTGACTCGTGTGTCAGGACCGTTTCGTCTGTGGCGGTTTCGTGCCATGTTGGAAGTTCGCTCGGTCCGTGAGGTCCCAGTGTTGTCCCAGGTCCCAGGTCCCGCGGGCCGTCCCGTGCATGACAGTACCACGCCGGGTTGCAGAGGACCCGCCCTGCACCTTGTGCCGGTGTCGGGCGGCGGCCCGCCGACCATCCGTTCGGCGCAGTCCGTGCCGCTGCTGTTGCCGGGCCCGGCCGGCCCGCTCACCTGGGACGGCGAGCCGTGCCCCGTGCACCACCACCCGCCGCCGCCGCTTGGCGCTGCCCGGCCCGGGCGGGCCGCTCTCGCTGCCGCCGCCGCCGCACGCCGGCCTGGCCCCCCGCGCGCCGCCAGCCTCTACGACCTGCGCGTGGGAACGCCGCACTCGCTGTACGGCCCGCCGCCCGACGCGTACCCGCCGGGCGTGATGACCGTCGACCGCAAGGGCGCGCTGCTGGGGCCACCACCGCCACCGGCCTCGTCACTCGGCCGCGCCCTGCTGCCACCCGGCCTGCTGCCGCCGCTGATGCGCCCTCGGCCAATTGTGCGAGCCGAGAACGGCGCGCCGCGGGAGCTGCCCGTGCGAGATCCGCGCAAGCCGTCGCTCGTGCCGCCGCCGCCCGAGCAGAAGCAGCCCGTCGGCTGCGGCGGCCTCAAGAAGGTGCTGGTCATCTCGCTGGCCGTCGTCGTGCTTGGCGTGATCCTCGCCGTGGCGTTGATCTTCATCATAAACTGATCCGGCGGACCGGTGGCGCCACCGGCGGCGGGCCGGTGAACCGCTGGGACCGGCGCCAGGCGTCTCAGACACGGCCCGGCAGCTCGTGCCCTCCAGCTCCCCTCCCTGTGGCGGACCACTGGACGCAACCACGGCATCTCAGATATTACGGATATCGACGTCATGGCAGTATCCCTCGATGCTAGCCGTGGGTCGGCGTGGTCATTGTGATGTTCCACTCTCGAGGTCTACGAGTCGACCCAGGCTCGTTTTCTCCGCAGCGTCTTCCCGTCGGATAATTTCAGGTCTCATAAAGCCGTCCGTTTATCAGGGGATGACTGCTCCCTATCTCGTGTCTGTCTGGCTGCGCGGTGCCAGTGGTGTTCCTGTTTTGTCCATAGACGTCCCAATGTCTTGTGCGCATTGGTTGCGTGGCAACCCATATAACCCAGTGTCAACCAAGGTCAGCCAAGACTTTGTCGTCAGACGGCGATGTTGGGTCTTGCTCAGTTCGCATTGTACAGGCAAACTGACCTCTGTCTACAGTTATGTATGAACGACATCAAACGACGTAGGATAGGCGCTACGATGTGTATATGAACGGATTGCCAGCGTCTGCGGTACTTCGTAACCGTACGTGGTGGCGCTTGCATTCGGGTGTATTAAAGTTCTAGTGCTCATTTTGTAGCTGGATGAATATGGTCTCCGTTGTTTGTCATTTAGAATACATCGCGAAACCCCGACCGCACGGTTTTCGGGCTGTTCCGTCAAGTCAAGACCATCACGGGCGTTTGCATCGAACCTCAGTGAAGAAGCCGCGCTAATATTCAGAGCATACCAAAACATGGCTGACTCGCAATCACATTCCTCGCAGAAACGTAGTGTAAAGTATCTAAACTGCCTCCTTACTGCCGAGAATTGAGCAGAACAGAACATACCAGGTTTGATCAAATTTCGTGGTACAGATGTTTTGGGTCGTAACCGACTAACGCAAGTTTTTGTGCTTATATCGCTAGTCTTATGCTCTGGTTAGCTAACTGACATGTAACAGCAAGGTTAAAAGGGCATGCCCGGCAAGAAATGTTCTGTCGGATGCGTAAAAAGTTCCACTGTGCTCTTATAACTCGTTAGGTGTATTTTGCCCGAAGTTTGCTCTTAACGATGCAGTAGTCCTGCAACTCTGGGGTTTCGGGTAGCACTACGGGCGAGCACGTGTTACTAGTCAGCATAATCCTGACAGTCTTTTGAATCATGGTCATGCCGCTATACCAATTCTCAAAACTGGCACCATTTCGGCCACTACTTATTTGCTAGGGCTGCAAAAATGTTGTTATGGCCGCCATTTTATAGCCTTTTATGAACGTCAAATCCAAACCTTTTGAATGGATGAATTTATGGTATCAGAGCACACGCTAAGCATTGCTTGTTTCGTAAGCCTACTTTGCGATCACGTAATTCCAGGTCAAGGTCAGAATTTGGCGGAGCCAGTCTTACATGCCGTAATGCTCGGCACGATCCATCCTGCCCTCTGACGTCACCTGAGCTTAAGTGAGTCTCCACCAATGGCTGCAGGCCATATCTGTCAAGGGCAAATAGCGAGCGCCTAAAACGACTCGCACCCATCCCACCTCAGGTAGGTGGATTGGAAGGCAAACATTCTAACTAACTGAGTTATCTATAACATATCGAACATAGTAACCAACTATGCTATCGAAACGGACTAGCGTGGCCTAGCATAACGGACAACAATGATATGGAAAATAAAAAGCGTTGGATGTACTTGGTCCCTTTAGGTAAACGGCACAAACTTTTGCTTCGCTTGTTAATGATTCGTTGACCTGTCCGATGAAAACGACTTTGTAATACCTTGTGCTGCTTGTCACTTATCTCATAATTGTCCTCGTAATTGCCCAATCCCCCTCAAACTTCACAGGGCATGGCACGCCGTTATAAGGTGCCAGGACTTTTTGAAGCCCACAACAGCCGGTGATCCAAACACCACAAAGGCCGAGGCACATCAGCTGGTTGTGCCACTGGCGACAGATAGGCACATTTTGTGAAATGTGTGGAAAAATTTTGCATTGGTATGGAATACCAGCTCAGTTCTGATGTGCCACGGAATCATCACGCGTATAAAACATGTTGATTACGCCACATTAAAACCAACATAAGTGAAGTACACTATCTTGGCACATATTCTGAACAAATATCTACAGCAAGCGGTCAAGGGCATTACGTCATCTCATGACATTTTTCAATGTCCAACAAGACACATCCAGAACCGCGACAAGAACACCCACCGCACGGGAGCATCCTCCCCTGGGAGCGGGAGGATCTTCACTGGGAGCCGGAGTGACCTCTCCCGGGAGCTGGAGCATCCGCCCCCAGGAGCCGGGGTATCCTCCCCCAGGAGCGGGAGCATCCTCCCCGGGAGCTCGAGCATCCGCCCCCAGGAGCGGGGAGCACCTCTCCCAGGAACCGGAGCAATCCTCCCCGGAAACCGGAGGATTCGTCCCCAGAAGCCAGAGCATCCTCCCCGGGAGCCGGATCACCCTCCCCCGGGAGCCGGAGCAGCCGGTGTGGTAACCGCATCACAGTCATCCGGCACCGCCCTGGTGCTCCGCCCGACTGACGAGGACGGCTGGGGGCGCCGGCGGCGCGCGGCGCTTGATCACAGGTGGCAGCACCAGCGCGACGAGGCAGGCGGCCGCCCGAGCAGCCCGTCATCGCGTACAGCACGGGCTCAAGCGACCCGGTACGACGGCGCACGGCGGCGGCGCCAGGCTGCGCCGCCAGGTTACTCAGGCCGGCCACCAGGTTCGCTAGCGTCAGTGAGGAGGCGAGCCGCTCCACGCCCAGCGTGTCCGCGCACACGACCGGCAGCGCCACGAAGTAGGAGCCGAGCGAGCCGTACATGAGCACGGTGACGGCGAACAGGCCGGACCAGTCGTGCGCGTGCGGCAGGGCGGCGGCGGCCAGAGCGGCGGCGCCGCACACCAGCGCCATGCTGAAGGGGCGCGGCCAGCCCGGCCGGTCCAGCAGCAGGCCGGTGGCCAGCCGGGCGGCGCAGTCGAGTGGCGCCGCCAGCGCCGCCGCTGAGGCCGACTCGGCGCGCGACACGCCCCGGCTGCTGGCAACGTCGGGACGAGCAGCGTGGCCTGCGGCAGCTGCACGTTGTAGAGCAGCACGCAGGCGGCGATCCAGAGGAAGCGCGGCTCGGCGAACAGTCGCAGGTCGAGGTAGCGCAGCGGCCGCCGCCACCAGCGCTGCCCCGCGCCCAACGTCCGCCGCCGCCTCCGCCTCGGCCGGCACGGGCCAGGCTCAGCTGGCTCAGCATCAGACTGGAGCGGCTGATGGCGGGGCTGAGCAGCGCCGGCGCGGCAGCAGGCGCGCTCAGCAAGCGCGGTAGCAGCAGGCGGGCCCAGCGCCAGTCCAGCAGCAGCGGTCGGCGGGCGGCCCGCGTGGGCGCTGCGCGCAGTACCAGCCGCCGCTGCAGCTCCAGCGGTCGGTACAAGCGTCCGCCGCGGCGATCATGTTGAGCTGCGCCGCGGCCAGCAGCCGGTATGTCCAGGCGAGCCCGTACTCGGCGAGCAGCGCCTCGACCAGCGGCGGGCAGGCAGGCGCCGCCGGCCGCCGCGCCCATCATCACCACGCCGTTCGCCAGGCCGCGGCGCCGTCGAAAGTAGCCGGCCACGGCCAGCAGCGAGGGCGTATTGGTGAGGCCGACGCCGGCGCCAGCCACCAGGCCGTGCGTCAGGCACAACAGCCGCGGCGACGTTGACAGGCTGCTCAGAGGAGGTAGCCGAGCGCGCACATCGACGCACCGACGGTTCGCCACCGGGCGCGACCCGAAGCGCGCGCAAAGAGCGCCGCTCAGCGGCGACACGAGGAACGACACGGCCAGGAAGACGGCGCCCACCTCCATCACGTCCGCCTCAGCCCGGCCGTGCTGCTCGGCCAGCGTGAGGAACATGAGACCCATCGCCTTGTGCAGGCCGCTGAGGAAGGTGAACACGACGACGGCCGCCAGCACCACCACCCAGCTGTACCACGAGTCGAGCACGGGGTCCTCGTCCGCGTCCTCCTCGTCGGCACGCAGCTTGTCGGCCCGCCGGCCCGGACGGCATGCACGGCATTGCGCCGACGTCGCGGCTGAGGCCGGCGGCGGCGCTTGTGACGACGACGCCCCGCGCGGCGCCCGGCTGCAGCGTCGCCCGGTCCGGGCGGGCTCACACGCGCGCGTCGACGCGCGGTGGCGGGCGCGGGGACGGCGCGAGTGCGGGGACGGCGTAGGCCGGGGCGGCGTGGGCCGGGGCGACGCTCGTGGTCTAGCACCCGTGGACGCGTCGGCAGCTCCCCGCTCCCCGCCGCCGGTCACTGCGGCGCCGTCCGCGACGCTCCCGCAGCCGCGGCCCGACGCTGACTGGGCGGGCCAGCGCCGGCGACGCCCGCCGCGCTCCGACCGGCACGCGCAGCTCCGAGTGACCGCGAACGGTGGCGACCGGAGACCGGCGGCGCCCGCGGCTCGAACTCGATGACCGTCCTCCCGAATGGCATGCCAGACACGCGAGATCTGTCGACCAGCGCCGAAACGGGACCCGGCCGCCGCAGCAATGTCCCGTAACTGTGCTTGTGGCGTGCGCGCGGCGGTAAGTGCGCGCAAACAGGAAGTGCGGTTACGGTAAATTCGAAATACGCGTCTCATCGTCATCACGTCCATAGCAGGACTCCGGTCCCGACGTAAGTCATGCATGCCACAAACCTGATCACAAAGCGGTACGTTAAAGCTTGCGGTACGATGTGTCATGCGGTGGGTCATGCCCATGTTTGTAACAACCGCTAAATAACGTAACATGCCCTGATGGTCTAACACAGCCAAGCGCATGGGCATTCTCAGAGCGGCTCTGTCAAGTCTGACAATGACTGCACATGCTCGCTCTATACCCATGATCAGATTAGCGGATGATTAGCGGATAATTCATCATCATTACGGAGATCCGTCGGACGGAAAAACTCAATATTTGTCAGCTCAGACAGACTGTTTTTCCCGAGCATGGCGTAGTGCAGTTGATCTTACGACCTGCCTGCCGATCTGCCTTGCTGTACATGCAGGCTTAGTCTTCCATGTAAATTTGGTGCACATCAACGCAAACCAGGCTGTCATGAACACCACACATTCGTAGACTTAAACCAAACCCGTACGCCACAAGGTATCGTATTACTTACAGGCCCATACGGTACTAACATCTTCAAAATGCAATAAAATGCGTGCCACACCGCATAGAAACTATGACATACGCTACAAAATGCTCGGCATTTGCCCAGAAGCCACCTAACGTACGCGTTTCTCAAGTAAGAATGTTTGCTAGGTGGAATGTGTTTCAATATCAGACATAACCGCAGTATTCACGAGACGCCCAGGCCTGACAGGCGTCGGCCGCAAGACAAATCAAAACAATTACAAGTACGGTGGAATAAAACTGGAAGAAACACTAGACTTAACAAGGGGATAGAAAAACTACGCACCTGAGTAAGTTTAGACTTGGGAGACAAGGCCGCTTGCTCGTGACGCTTTATATCACACCTAGTGTCTCCATGTCCGCTTAAATCTTTTTAACTATCCAGGCATACAAGAAAGTTGCAATGGATCAACCACCGATAATCGTCTACAAGTATTACAAAATAACTCGCGTGCTAGAAACCAAAACATCTGGCCAGCTTCAGGCTTCTTTTAGAGAAGACAAGGGCGTTCTGGGCATTCTTTTACTGAAGACTCAAAGAATGTTCTGTGTGGCTGGACGGGAACAGACGGCAAAGCACTTCGATTGCCGCCCAGCAGTACAAAGCATTCAACAGAAGCGTGGCATCAGCGGACGCGCGAAGGACGTACTTTTTACCCGGATATACAGCTGGCGTATTTGCGCACGAGTTCGACGCGTGGTAAGAAAAAAAAACACCCGCGGTAACAGGTCATACCGTCAATTGTTCGGATGCATGCGGCGAGATATGGCGCGTTTCACCCTTCCCACAGCCCGTCCAGCCTCATCGACTTCTGACCTGGCTCACCAGGTTCATGCAAGCCAGGCCTCTCCCAGCGTCACCCTCGCGAGGCGGATGCCCGTGGCCCTGAACCCCTGAACCAAGCCGTGTGCCGTGTTTAGCCGAGCTCCGAACCCATCCGTGCGGAGTGTTTGGAGCGCTTGCACGTGCCGGCATTTGTGCCGCTTCATGCGAACTAGGACGTGCAGTCTTTGCCATCGCCTGCGGCCAAGCCCCGATAAATGACGTCATCGCTTGGGACAGGGCAACAACAACCGAGACCGCAGTCCGACAAAGCACATCCCGAGCCATCACATCCATCGCCACAAACCCATTTGCCGTCAGCTGTGTCATGACCATCACTGGAGTCGGCATTGCCGGCGACGGGCCAAGCTCACCGCGACAATGTGACCTGAGCTGCGACGGGGCCGCCCGCCAAATCATTTCCCTGCGAAATGAGCGATTGTTTAACATGCGGGCCGTCTTGCCAGCTGGCAGGCCGGTCGCACCCCGTGCCACGGGAAGCGAGGTTTCTGGGTAGGGTCGGACCCCAAAGTGGCCGCCAAACAACCGGCACGAGTTCGCGGTAGCGGTGTCCTGGGTTGACGCAATAACAAGCCCGATGCTTCGGCGGCACGTGACATGTGTGTGTCCAGTATGCACGGATGTCTGTGTAGTGGATAAGCCTTTGGTGCGAGTAAATCGTATCCCTCGCACCGTCGCAAAACGAATGAAATTTGTCCAGGAGCTCGCCCAGGGTATCTCCTGGCGGGTCGAGTTGGCACAGTTGATCGCGTGCTTCGCTCGACCACAAAGCTTGACCCCGACCCATGCCTGGGAACGGTTACGATCGATCGAGGCTCAGCCGAATCCTCTCCCCAGCCCAGGCGATTCCCGCGGCCCGGCATGGTTCCCGGGAGCCCGGCCGACCGGAGCTCAGTCAGGAGACCCCTCCCGCTCTTCCCGTGCGTGGTGCGGGGCGCGAGATTCAAATGACCTGCGCCGTGGTCAACGGCTCAGCAGTCGCCCACATCTCTGTTGCCGCTCGGCGGAACCGAAGAGGCCATCTGGACAGCTTCTGGCCATCAGCGCAGTGAGGTCGACAGTGACCGGCTGCCGTTAAAGCTGCCCATTTCGTGCCCGGCGAGTGCTTGTCACAGACGCCGCGCCGTTGAAGTACGAACGCTGTATGCTGGTAACACCGTCGTTCGTGCGCATACGCGGCTCCCGCACGCACGCGTTATGTAACGACGACGAGGCCGGCGCACAAGTGCTCTGAGTTCAGGACTTGGGTGAGTGATCCCCGTAAAAGCGTCGACTGGTAACTGCCGGAAACACGCCGGCGAGGTCCCTACAAAGGCCTGGAGAGCACATTCACCGACGCTTGGGAGGGTGTGTGAATGAGTGCGTAGTAGGAATGGCCATCGCATGCACTTAAGGCATCGGAGAACGCGTTGCGCAACGGGGCTAAAGCGGACGTGCCAGCACTCACGACGAAAAACCTTGACATGGCTATTCAGACATGGCAGATCATGAACTCTATCTCAGCTTCATCTTGCAGAGACGATCAATTGTGAGGCATGATGTTTTTATCGCATCATGCTCTCGCAATGGCGGCTGGGTGAATCATCTCAAGATGTCGACTTGCGCGTCTTTTTACGTCTGGCCCACCTGATTTTAGCATGCAAGTTGGCTGGATACACAACGTAAGCCTAGGCGCCCACGTCTAGTCATGTCTCACAGGCGGCCATTCATGCAGGTCACTATGCCATCAGGCTATCATTAATGCAAATTCCAAGCGCTTTGTACCACTAGCCACAAAATTATTCGGACTAATAAGTTCCTCAACACTTCTACAGCAGGTGAAAATTGTGACTGTGGAAGGCATGTTTTCAGACCAATCCCAGGAAGAGAGGCGTAAATGCTCTCAGTTTTGCAATGTGTCGTTTACTGCATCTCGCCGCAGTCACGTGCATGATCTCGAGCGTGCCCACCATATTTCCAGCACCGCCTTAAGCCCTGCCATATTGGAGGCCAAGTACCACCATGAGGTCGGCCGTAAAAAAGCGTTACTCACGGAGTGGGAAGGGTGATGATGGGCGTAATCGAAGCGTGACAAGGAACGCGGTGGGCGGCGTACCATCACATTCAGACTTGGTTGCAAATCACGCTAAAATTTTGACAAACATTAACAAATATAACATCTAATTCTAACAACAAAAACACAAAAATCGGCACCGTCGGCTATATAACAATGTCAGCATAACGTTTTTTGGCACCTTCACCTCCATTAGCAGCCAAACATATTTACCTTTTCTGAACGTTATGCTTAAGGCAAGGTAACCAGGGGAGAAGGATCACCCAACGTAACCAGTGCGTAACCGGGAAAGCGGTTTGCCGAAAAGACCACAAAAAACGCATTAAGTAATTTCCGGACGGCACTTGCCTTCCATCGAGCACCGTAGTGCAGCCAAACATTCCAAAAATTACAAACGCGTGAATAGTAAGTGCGAAGCAAAACTAAAACCACATGCTATGTTGTATGAAACCGGACCAGTTCCTGCGGACCTAACCGGCGCGACTTTATCGTTCGCCACCCCCCCTTGCACAGTGATTCCAAACAGGGCTTCAATCCCTTCAATCCACCACTTCGACGAAGACAAACAAATGCAGCTTTGCGTATAAATTTAATAACAAAAAAACCACACATAAACATGACCCGCACCTCAAGCCGTATTTGGTAAGCTGGTGGTCCGAGAGATCAAAGCTGGTCCCCGGTGGTTCGTCGCTAAAAGTCACACGTCACAACAGCCCGCGTATCACTCCTCCGCAGTGGCCTTCTTCACGCCTTCCTTTTGCCGTTTGCTCTTCTTGGTATCAGCCTGGTCGATGGGGGCCGGCTTGACGAACGGTAGCTCCTGACGATACTCTGCGGCAGCAGGAGGGCGTCGCTGCTGTATTCTGTCCCACCCTCCGCTGCCCGCTGTCCGTCGCACCGCGCCGACCACACTGCGTCAGCCACAGCGCGACGGTGCGGCCGGCGGGACAGGCAGCCAGGGCACGGGGGAGCGACGGACGGCTAAGATAGATCAGAGACAGAGAGAGGCGAGAGACAGAGAGAGAGAGGGGGGGAGAGAGGGAGGCAAAGAGAGAGAGAGAGAGAGAGGAGGGGAGAGAGAGGAGGAGAGAGAGAGGGGGGGAGAGAGAGAGGGGGAGAGAGAGGGAGGGAGAGAGAGGGGGGAGAGGAGAGAGAGAGAGAGAGAGAGAGAGAGAGAGAGAAGAGAGAGAGAGAGAGAGAAGAGAGAGAGAGAGAGAGAGAGAGAGAGAGAAGAGAGAGAGAGAGAGAGAGAGAGAGAGAGAGAGAGAGAGAGAGAGAGAGAGAGAGAGAGAGAGAGAGATAGAGAGAGAGAGAGAGAGAGAGAGAGAGAGAGAGAGAGAGAGAGAGAGAGAGAGAGAGAGAGAGAGAGAGAGAGAGAGAGAGAGAGAGAGAGAGAGCGAGAGAGAGAGAGAGAGAGAGAGAGAGAGAGAGAGAGGAGAGAGAGAGGAAGAGAGAAAGAGAGAGAGAGAGGAGAGAGAGAGAGAGAGAGAGGAGAGAGAGGAGAGAGAGAGAGAGAGAGAGAGGAGAGAGAGAGAGAGAGAGACAGACGACAGACAGACAGACAGACATACAAGACAGAAGACAGACAGACAGACAGACAAGAAAGACAGACAGACAGACAGACAGACAGACAGACAGGCAGACAGACAGACCGACAGCAGACAGACAGACAGACAGACACCAGACAGACAGACAGACAAGCAGACAGACAGACAGACAGAGAACAGAGACAGACAGACAGAGAGACATAAGACAACAGAGACAGAGAGACAGAAGACAGAGACAGACAGACAGAAGACAGAGAGACAGAGACAAACAGAGACAGAGACAGAGAGACAGAGAGACAGACAGAGAGACAGAGACGAGACAGAGACAGAGACAGACAGAGACAGAGACAGACAGAGAGAGACAGAGACAGAGACAGAGACAGAGAGACAGAGACAGAGAGAGAGACAGATACAGAGAAAGAGAGAAGAAGAGAGAAAGAGAGAAAGATAGAGAGAGACAGAGAGATAGAGAGACAGGGAGACAGAGAGAGGGAGAGGTGCTGCGGCTGAGGGACTGGACGCGGAGTCGGACTCTGAGTGACGCACAGACGGGTAATGCCGAAGGTGCTTCTTCGCAGCCAGTGACACAGTAGCCATGTCGGGCAGAGACTTGACCATAAAAGTTATATGATTTATCGATGCATTCGACGCCACCGCAGCTGACAAGATTAGCAAGACAGCCTCGCTCGCTGCTTGTGGCGTTGGATCAGCAAAGTTCCGGTAGTTGATGCCTGTTTTCTGCTTCTTTACCTCAAGCCCGACGAAGTGTGGCTATCTAACCAAGCTTCAACAGACCGCAACAGACACACTAAACCAACCACATGGACTCTGTCAGCTTAAATACGACACTCCAGGGAGTTCAAGGGTTTGTACGGATCAGTACACAGATGGGCGACCTCGCCGGACCCATAGTGGCCACTTATCTACCCTGACGACTCTCAGTGTCGCGCTACTTCACGCATCCCAAACACGCACCAGTCGCCCTCCCCTCTCCCGCCGGACGCAGTGCGTCGTGCCGCCGCAACACAGCCGGGACCGGCACTTGACCGCGATTGCCGCCATCCGCAGGCGTGAGGCCACTTAGAGCCGCCGGCCGCCGGCGCCGCGGGGCGCAGGCAACCAGCGGGGCGACGACGGGTTGCCGGGAGCGCGCCCTGCCCGGCACTCCGGATCGGCGGCGGGGAACCAGGGTACGACGGACGTGCCGTCAGCCGGCCTCCTCTCCCGGATGACCGTACACGCGGGGACGGGCACCGGTCAACCTCAGATACTCACGGTCTTGGTTCGGTATGGCTGAGACGATGTGAGCGAACGATCGTTACCTCCGCACCACCCACTAGTCTGTCCCGCCCACCAACAGCCAGTCTAGCCCTCCCACCACCCGCCCCGCCCACCATCCGCCAGTCTGGCCCTCCCACAGCTCGCCAGTCTGCCCCCCCCCCCCCATCACCCGCCAGCCTGTTCCACCCCACCACACCGCAGGTTTGTCCCGCCCATCAACAGTCAGTCTGGCCCGCCCACCACCCGCCAGTCCGCACCGTCCAACACCCACCAGTCTGCCCTACACATCATCCACCAGTCTTCCTCGCCCACCACCCACTAGCCTATCCCGCCCACCACCTCCCAGTCTGCCCGCCCACCACCCGCCAGTCTATCCCGCCCACCACCTACCAGCTTACCTCGCCTACCACCCGCCAGTCTGGTCCACCTATCACCATAAAACGCGGCTGCCCTGCGGCGCCCAGCGAACACCCGCTCACCACCGACCAAGGAGCCCGCTCAGATCCGGACAAGGCCCGCCTGACCCCCCTGCCCCATGAGAATCCAGTCCGGGTACTCACTCTCGGGCATGAAGGGCCGCAGCGCCTCGGGCACGGTGACGCCGGTCTCGGTCTGGCCGAGCTCGAGCAGGGCGCAGATGACCCGGGTTGTGGCACACATGGTGGCGTTCAGCATGTGCACGTAGTCCACCTGCGGCGAGCAGCACCATCAGCCGTCCCGCCGCTGGACACAGGCGGACTCGCGAGGTGCGGGCGAGGGATACATCAAAAGGCACCATCACCGAAGTGATTTAGCATCTGTCAAGCCATGTAAACACGGGCTGACAACAGTGCTTCTGCAAATCCAGATGGGTCACATCACTTCCCGCTAACCAGAAGGGCAGTCGTCCGCTATCATCCAAATATCACATGCACGCAAGGTGTCTTTGTGCATAAGTTCCGCGAGCTAGATTCCAAGAGATGCCGGCACGCTTGAAAAGGAAAACACACAAGCAGTCATCTGCTACTGTCGAAGACCTTTCCACGGGACACGACACTTCTGGCAGCCGCTCTTCGAAAACCCTGCCGTATCCAAACAAACCTGTCGTTGAACGGTCGCACCGTCTGGACACCAGCCAGCCGAGCCAATAGTGACCCCCCGCCCCCCCCCCCCCCCCCTCCTCCCGAGCTACCGCAGCACTGTACACCCGCCCGCGCCGGCCGCTCCTCTGAGGCTCACCTTGTCGCCCATCTTTTTCGTCTGTCCGTAGCGGACGCGCAGCCGGCGCGCCTGGTAGTCGGTGCAGTTGCTGCAGGAGACGAGCTCGCGGAAGGCGCCGCTGCCCGGGAACCAGGCCTCCAGGTCCAGCTTCTTGCTGGCGGCGTTGTTGAGCTCGCCGCTGACGATGTTGACCACGCGGTAGGGGATGTTGAGTGCCTGGCAGAATCGCTCGGCGTTGTCCATCATCTCGTCCATCATCAGCCAGCTGGCGTTATCGTGCGGAGAAGTCAGTACGAACTGCTCCACCTGTCGAGACGGGAGAGACCAGATGAGCTCAACGGGGCGCAGCTGGGGCCGGCGCAGTGGAGCAGGCTTCAGCACGAGATGCTGATATACATACATATTGTGCTTCACTACAATATGCTAAAACTGGAAACGGCGGGGACGGGCTGGGGCAGGTAGAGAGCAGCATACAGCCCAACACACGCCGCGGCACCACGGAACGATGCAATGGACCAAAGAACTTACGAGTCGTATTTGAGTACATGCGTGATCGTGGTCGGGTCAACATGAACATCTTATCGATTAAAAGGTCAAGGTTTATGAATAACGAACAATGCAAACTCCGGCGGTGTTTCGCCACCAGTCTCTCCCGCCCCACAAAGGCCCCAATCACGCCATCTCACTCCATACGGACGGCGCCCGTCTCCGTCCGGCTCCACCGCCGCACGTGAGCGCACAGCGCGCCGCCAGCCCGCGCGCGGCGCCTACCTTTTCAAACTGGTGCACGCGGAAGATGCCGCGCGTGTCGCGGCCGTGCGAGCCGACCTCCTGGCGGAAGCAGGTGCTGAGGCCCGCGTAGCGGATGGGCAGCGTCGCCTCCGGGATCCACTCGTCCCGGTGGAAGGCCGCAATCGGCTGCTCCGACGTGGCGATTAGGTACTTCTCGTCCACCGAGGCGTCGTCGCCCCGCTCGCTGCCCTTGCCCACCACCTGCCGAGCACAGCACGGCATGCTGCTGATTCGCTTGGTCGCGTTCATTCGCAAAAAAAACGAACAATGGAATAGCTTTCAGCGACATATTTTGGCATTTGCAGAAAACAAAGATCACCCTGTAGGCATAATTTTTTTCCATAAAAATCACATGCCCAGAGCGCAATATGGCCGGACTGTCGCACCGCGCAACACCACAGACGGCCACCCGAAGGGAGAGAGATGCTGCCACACCACAGACGGCCAGTCGAAGGAAGATGGATGCTGCAACACCACAGACGGCCAGTCGAAGGAAGATGGACGCTGCCACACCACAGACGGACAGTCGAAGGAAGATGGATGTTGCCACACTACAGACGGAAAGTCGAAGGAAGATGGATGCTGCCACACCCACACATGGCCAGCCGAGAGAGCATGGATGTTGTGACACCACAGACGGCCGCGTGATTTGGTACGCGTTTGTGTGCAGTCTGAGCACACAACACATCACGTATGAAGCCGTCCCATCACGCGAGACATAATTACAAACTGGCATTCCAGGACTACGGAAAAATCATGACATTCTTGACACATATACAAGTCAGTGGCATGTTTTGAACCCACGTTCGGAAAATCTACTGAAGTGAGATAATAAGGACCGCGTTTTGTATATCACACCTACACCACTTCTGCAGAAATCACAATCCGATGAGCCATTCCGCATCTGTTTGGCCCATTCTGCACTTGGATCTGTGTGCCGGCATGCTACCATTCCTCCTACAGTGGGTTTCAGTTCAGCTCTTGCAGGGTACACAAGCCAGCTGCAGCGGGTGGTAGAGGCCTTGTCAGTCGCCAGCCACGCTCAACTTATACAGTTCGTCGTCAAACTGGCTGAGCCGGGCACCTCCCCGGGTCGGCCCCCGACCACGCTCACCTTGTACAGCTCGTCGTCAAACTGGCTGAGCTGATCACCTCCCCGGGTCGGCCCCGACCACGCTCACCTTGTACAGCTCGCTGTCAAACTGGCTGAGCTGATCACCTCCCCGGGTCGGCCCCCGACCAACGCTCCCCTTGTACAGCTCGCTGTCAAACTGGCTGAGCTGATCACCTCCCCGGGTCGGCCCCCGACCACGCTCACCTTGTACAGCTCGCTGTCAAACTGGCTGAGCTGATCACCTCCCCGGGTCGGCCCCCGACCATGCTCACCTTGTACAGCTCGCTGTCAAACTGGCTGAGCTGATCACCTCCCCGGGTCGGCCCCCGACCACGCTCACCTTGTACAGCTCGCTGTCAAACTGGCTGAGCTGATCACCTCCCCGGGTCGGCCCCCGACCATGCTCACCTTGTACAGCTCGCTGTCAAACTGGCTGAGCTGATCACCTCCCCGGGTCGGCCCCCGACCATGCTCACCTTGTACAGCTCGCTGTCAAACTGGCTGAGCTGATCACCTCCCCGGGTCGGCCCCCGACCACGCTCACCTTGTACAGCTCGTCGTCAAACTGGCTGAGCTGGGCCACCTCCTGCATGATCTCCTTGCGCATGAAGAAGGGCGTGTAAAGCGGCTTGAAGCCCTTCTCCAACAGCATGCGCAGCGCCAGCTGGACGATGGCCTGCTCCAGGAAGACGGCCGGCCCGGTCAGGTAGTAGCCGCGCGCGCCCGACACGGCCGCGCCCCGCTCGCCGTCCATGCCGTCGATCATGTGGATCAGGTCGACGTGCGAGTAGCGCCGCCGGACGGCGCAGTCGCCCGACGTGCGCTCCACGCCGTTGTTCTCCTGCCGGCGGCGAGGGCGGCGGTGAGCGAAGAGCACGACAAGGGGTGGAGCGGCGGCGGGAGCACTACGGGCAAGGCCAGGCCGGAGCACGACTGAGGCTTTGGGCTTGGAGCGGTTGTTGTTCAAATGTCTTGGTGTGATCACTGCTTGGCCGCAGCCATGCGTTCGAATATTGCGCATACGCGCCTGGCCGGTCGTGTGCGTGGTGTGGCCGGCGGTGCCGGTGCACCCAACCGACGGAGCAGTTTCCAGCAGCAGCACGCGCCCATCGGCACGGGGAGCCTCACCTCATCGTTGCTGATGATACAGGAGGGATGCAGGAGGTTGCCGATGTTGGCGAGCGCCGCGTCCCGCTCCTGAACACTGCGCTCGAGCGCCTGGCTCGTCTTGGCCATCTCCTCGTCCAGCAGCTGGCGCACCCTCTGGTGGTGGACAGCGGTGACAGAGCGGGCCGTGGTGACCGGGCGGCGGGATGGCGGACAGCGGTGACTGAGCGGTGAGTTGGTGGTCAGCAGTGACGGAGCGGCGAGACGGTGGACAGCGGTGACGGAGCGGTGAGTTGGTGGACAACGGTGGCGGAGCGGTGGGACGGTGGACAGCGGTGACCGGGTAAGTGGATGGAGACGGCGGATAGTGATGGCCGGGTGCACAGACGGTGGACAGTGGTGGCTGAGGGTGGGCAGTGGTGACCGACGGTGGACAGTGGTGCCCGGGCCAGGTGTAAAAACGGTGAAAAGTGGCGGCGGGGCGGTGAAACGGTGAATAGCAAAGACCTAAGCGTTTCAACCTTTCATACTGGAAAATTGCCATAATATGGCCACCGAAACATGCAGTGACTCATACAACATCCAAACACGTCCCCGCCATACGACTATGACTACAACATCCACCAGGCGTACAGCCTGTACCGCGAACAGCACCACGCGCCGCGGCCGCCCCGAGCGGCGCCCAGCGCGAGCCGCTGAGGGGACCGGCCGCCCCGGGCCGGGACCGACCTTGAGCTGTGTGACGGTGAGCGGCCGCAGGTGGTCCACCGTCAGTTGGGCCAGCTGCAGGGTCACCAGCTCCGGCAGCGTGTCGTCGTCGCCCGGCGTCTCCTTCCTCTGAAGCGGTCCGTGCGGGGCGCGGGTCAAGGGCGGAGGCGATGCTGTCAGCACCATTGTTCTGACTGTGTCTAGCAACAGCAAGGCAATGCATTTAGTTAAATGATGGCATACACATTGCTTGATCCAGTGCTGTGCTGACAAAAGCTCCACCTTCAACTTCGCCTGTAGGCCAAATAAACATGCAGAGAGGAGCTCAGCATTTCAGCAAGAGAGAACTGTCATGCAAGGTGAGCAGTATGTTTTTAAACCTTTTTAGTTTCAGCTGGGAACTAAAGCAGCATGATTTACACAACTGCACATGCAGAAACTCAAGAGTGTGCAGAAACTAGCCACAATGTAAGCATATCACACAATGTACTCACTTTCATTTTCTCTCCAATTGTTTTGCTGCAAACATTTTTAAGCTTGTTCCAATTATCTGCATCAAAGCGAACTGCAAAACAAATGCACTGTTAAGTTGTTAAATGTACCAGCGCATAGAACAAATACATGATAAATGTCTCCAAGTCCGTGATTGAGAAGACAAGTGGCCTTGATAGAAGCTTCTGATGTGTTGCAAACAACTGGACATCATGTACATGATTTGCAGCATGCTTTATTGCAAAACAATCAGGTCATCTGAGTAATATCTGATTCAGGTCACAGCCTTACATTTCCTCCAGTTGCTGTCATGTTCCACGACCCTGTCGACCAGGGTGACATCTTTGAACCTGTCACGCTGTGACTTCCGAATCTTGTCTGGGTCACCCCCCTTCTCCGCACGAAACAAGTCAATGTCCAGCACCATGCTGACCTGAAACCAAAACTTGACTGTCAGCAACACTGAAACCTGCACCAAAGGGTCTGACAATAAATAGCCATGTCTTGAATATATGTTATGCTCAATGATTGAACAGACATTATGTCCTAAGCTCTCTGTCAGTACTGCACGAGCATGATACAAATTAGTTTCTCAGTTCCCTCTCTGTAACTTTCCTTGCAGTATTAAGCTATCTATGGCTCAATAGCCTGTCTTACCAGGTCTTGAATAACTAATTACCAGTATTATGCAGGGAAACAGGGCTAGGCAATGGCTGAAGTCAAATTTGAAGCCAAGGCAATGACATGGAGCCAAAACCAAAGCCAAAGTCACCCACAGTACATATTTTCAACAAAGCAGCTGGCCGAATCCCTGCTATTAAATTCATGGTGGAGCGGATCTGAGTTGCTTTGAGCACTTGCTATTTGCCCTGGACGGTTCAGTGCTTGCACTAAAGGTCAAGTGACGACAAAGGACAATACAGACTATGCTGAACCCAGCAGCACATTTAACTTCAATCAAATTCTGCTGTTGACCTGCAATGTAATAGAATGATGGGATGGTAGGGTCAGGCCTCATATAAGCACTGCTTAACATGAGCTTTAATTCCAGAAATCCATGTATTCAAAAATTTCAGATTGAATCTATAAAAAACTATGGTTTTGAATGTTGAAACTGCAAAAATGAAACACCATCAGTGACAATTGTGGCAACACTTGTAGTAGCATTCAACTGTTCATTCAATACTGTGGGCAGATTACTCTAAATTCATACTACCTGAATTCTTGCTCTAGCATCTCCACCAACACAATTTTGCATTCATACACAATATGTTGACTGTCCATATGTTGCCCTTTGACTGCAATCCCTGACATTTGACCTGTGCAGCAAACCATGCGGTCTTCTAATGCCGTATGGCCAATCATAAACAAGGAGGGACAACAGGCGGTTAACCATGACCCTGCAGATTGACAAAATGACAAATACTGACAACCCAGTCGCCCAAGTGGCTGAACAATGAAACTTGTTTTTTTATTTTTGAAACATGAAGCAGAACCTGCCACCAGTGGCTTCTAACTTTGTTCTCTGAATGCAACAGCAGTGGTTGCTCCAAGCTTCAAATGTTGAAGTTGAGGTCACCACCAGCTGTTGCAGAAGATAAAGCTAAATTTGAAGCAAACTTATTAAACTTAGCAAACAAACTTAAATTGGGGGAAGAAAAAGCTCCAGCCAGCCCTGAAAAAAGGTTCAAAGCCAAATTCAATTGACAAAAACTAATGCTCAGTAAAACTGATTTGAAAGCTGAAAATGGCTGTACCATACATGACCAGGACATCACATAATTATTTCATGTACATTCTATATTATCCAGGGTTCCAGCCTGGTTGAAAGCACCTGTGAACAATGTCAATTCCAGCCAAAGTTACAGGTCAGGAGTCAAGCACTGCCACCATGTTCACACACACCAGCACGACAGACAAGGACGATAAACCACAAAATATCATTCCATCTGTAAGACTAATACTTAGTCTAATATTTCCACACACTATACCACCCTCTTATTCCCCATATGCAAATCCCATCTGCAAATCACAAAAGCCAAGCCTTATTGCATACAATAACACATTCACTGAATAGTGAAGGCACAGGCATGGGAAGAATTCTACAACAGAGGGGTGCCATCCAAAACTTTTCACTGGAAACTGATTGCAGGAAGTCACGGGCACATACAATTTATTGTGTGCACACGTGGTAAAACAATTCCATGTTCTGTCTTCTAAGTCTTGGGTCCCAAATCCTTTAGTCAGCTTTAGCCCTATACATCCTGGCGCACACCATTAATTTGCTAAGGGAGTGGCATGTATCCCAAGAGTTACAGGTGCTTATGTCCCTAGGTAATGAAGAAATACCTATGCTGTCATAAGATGGCACGTCGGGTTGGGTACTGATGGATGATTACCGGCTTGCCGTGACAGGATAACGCACATAAAAATCTTGATATTTCGGAAAATGCTTTTCCAATAACTGGCAATGCTTTGCAGATGGCTTCTCACAGGTTAAGGCCCCGCACAGGTGCAATTTCGTAAAATCCTTGCTTTAAGCCACTGGCCGACCACTCCCTGACATCCGGGGGCTCGTAACCTCCTCACAAAGCAAGCGCCTCCCCTGCGCAAGTGCCAAATTAGTCATTTGTAACGCCCCCGTGACGAAAGTTGCAAGGCGGAATGTGACAGCTGTTTCGCGAGCTCAGCAAGCTGATGAAAAAATGGGGAACAATGGGATTGACGAACGGCCCCACCAACGCAAAAATCGCATATTTACCAGCGAGCTAAACCTGTTGAGACGTTAGAAACCAAACTCAAGAACTGGCTGCTCATACGTAGGATATACTAGGGACACGGCCGCATGCACCGCCCCCTCCCCCCACGATATCAAACGCACGATTTCTGCCCCGTTCCTGACTCAGTGGTTTCACGGAGCCGAAAGCTGAACATGGCCAGGTCGGTGCGGGGAGCAGGTAAACTGCTCATGCAACGCCTAAACCACCTACGTGCGTGCTACCTATGTGTGCTGAGAATCGACACTGACAGGGAAGACATGCAATGATTCCGGTACCGCCGACATCTTCAACTAAGGAAACGAGGTCCCATGAATTGCCAAGCTGCACCCCCATGACGCAGTATTAGCCCCATGACAAGTACTATGAATTCAGCCAGCTGTGCACGGGCTACGCGGCAACAACTAACGCGTGACACAACCCAGCCCGACCGCACGCATCATTTCGTGGTCATCAAAATACTATTCCATTTATTGTATGGCTGTATATGATACAAAGACTGAGAGACGAAGAGAGCATGCAGCTTATCTACACATGTGAACAGGACAGGCGGAGCCAAGCTCTTCCTCGCTACGCCAATTGCCAAACGCGCTAATATCTCAAATGACTAGAAAATACTTTGATGTTAGAAACACATGTACAATCAAAAGTGGAAACGCGTCATAAATTACACAAACACAATTCCCACACTAGCAAAGAAAATAAAAATAAACGAATCTGACGATTCATGTCCAGTAAAAAAACAGATATTTTCAACAGACCCGACGCAAACCGAAACCTGGCGTGGAAACCGTGTACCCCGTCCCTCGCCACCACAGTCAGGTACGCATTACAGTTAAAAAATATAGCATACAAGTAGATCCAGCAGCAGCCCCACTCCACGGCCCCTTCTTGACCCCTCTAAGGGTACAGCAAATCCCGCGTTGCTCCAGTACCCTGTACAATTCACACCGAAAGAGCCGCGCGCCCACATTGACCATAGTTCGTACGCCGCCGGCCGCACTCACACGCCACGGATACGCCTTCGGCCTGCCGCCCGCCCTGGTGGCCGCCCCGCGAGACCACAACTCGGCGTCCGGCCACTAGATACCGCCACCGCATCTAAGGGAGACACTACACAACGGTGATGGGCGGGCCTGGCCGGCGCCTCAGGTCCTCCCGCAGGCCCACTCAAGCGTCGGCCGCCCGCTATCCGTCACGAGCACCTCACAGCGCGCGCCGCAGCGTCCCTCCGCCCCGGAGCGCCCGTAGCCGGCCGGCCGGCCGCCGCCGCCTCAGCTGTCCTTGCCATGACGCGGCGAAGCCGGCAGCTTTTTAAGCAGCGGGCCGAGTCCGCGCAGCGCGTGGCGCGGCGTGCGTGGCCGCTTGCCCGGCGAGCCGGACGGGTCGGGCCCGGCCGCCGCCGTCGCCTCCGACGGCCGACACTCGAACGACGAGAGCAGGTACTCCCGGTCTGAAAACGGGCGGACGCGTGTACTGAGGCCACTGTCGGCGGCGGGTGCGGCGCGATCCCACGCGGCCACGGCCTGCGACGCACCCCAGCACATCATGGCGCGCCTCTAGCTGAGCCACGCCAGTGCACACGTGGAAGGCGAGTTATTGTAGGAATATCTTTACGTCATTCTAGGAGCAGATCGGGTTATCGAGGTCGCAGAACTCACAAACAACTGAGGACCGTAACGCACTGATCAAATCGGCCGCCGGCGGTCCGGCAGCATCGCCCTGCCAGCCTCGGTCGGCAGCCGGCCCGGTCCGGCAGCGGCCGGCAGCGGCGGCACCGACCTGTGCCACTGAGCGGGCAGTCCTCGGCGACGGCGGCGTCGCGCAGGTACACCAGCGTCTCCTCGAGCAGCGCCGGCTCGGCCAGCGCGCCGCGTACGGCCGCCACCACGTCCGTCTCCCAGAGCCGCTGCACCCAGCGGATGAGACGCCACGGCTCGCCGGCCTCGACGCGCGCCGTCGCCCACGCCTCGGGGCCGGGCGCGGCCAGCTGGAGGCGGCGGCGCGCGGCCGCCGCCTGCAGCCGCCCGCTGAGCCCGGCCGCCCAGCGGCACGTGCGGAACACAGCGTCCTCTGGCGGCGGCGCCGTGCCGCCGGTGGCCACCAGCAGGCGTCGCATGAGCCGGCGGCCGGGCAGCGCCGCCAGTGGCGCCGCCTCCGGCCGCAGCTGCAGCAGCGGTAGCGCGCCGCCGGCCGGCTCCACGCCGTCGCCGGCCGCCAGCAGGAACGAGCCGGGCGGCAGCAGGGCGGCGCGGCGCGCCGCCTCGGCCGCGCTCGATACCGGGTCCAGGTGGGCGATCACCGGCGGCCCGTCGGCGGCGGCGGCGGCGTCGGCGTCCGCCGGCAGCCGGCCCAGCGTCAGGTCCGGCTGCTGGGCGGCCAGCGCGGCCAGCACGGCGCGACCCATCAGCTCGCGGTCCCAGCCGTCCGGCACGTCCAGGATCAGCGTGTGGTGTCCCTCCAGCTGCCGGGCGCCGGGCAGCGGATGGCGTTAGTGCTGAGCAGCGCGGTACGCGGCGCCATGCGGCGGTCGGGGAGGCGGGCGGAGGGCAGCGACACCGCGGCGGCACTTGATTTGTCTCCGGCTTGACAGGGGTCACGGCAACCGAAGCACCTCTCAAAAACGAGTTAAACTTACGCCGACTACAAGTTCATATCGAAGCTCTCGTCTTCAATCCCCACACGTCTGGCTGAAAGCAAAACAAACATACGGAATTGGACTATAGGCCGGACCCGCCTGGTGACCTAAACCCGCCCTCAGATCATCGATCAGCCCAGCTAGCTCCCCAGCCCGCGACGGCATCCGACCGCGGCCGCCACCGCAGCGCCTCACCAGCCGCACGTAGTTGTTGATGACGCCCAGCGGCAGGGCGGCGGCGTACGCGGCGTCCTCGGCCGGCCGCAGCGTCACCAGCACGTCGTCCACCTGCAGGTCGCAGAGCGTCTGGTGGGGCGTGCGCGAGCCGGCGCCGGGGTCGGGCCGTCGCCAGCGGTGGCTGCCGGCGCTGAACAGGAGCACGGCGTCGGGCGTCACGCCCAGCGACGCCGCCTGGCCGCGGTCCGGGAACGGGTCGGAGCGGCTGCGCTGCTGCCGCGTCAGCGTCACCACGCGCTCCTCGCTGAACGCCCTGCGACGGCGACCACCGCCGACCGGTTAGACTGGGAGGTGCGAATCAGAGGCGGTCATGCGGGTGGCGGCAAGTCATCGCAAATGAGCGCAGCGCTGCGAGAAGGCGGTCAGACCCGTGGAGCTGGCAGTTCGCCAGCGGCGCGTGCGGTGGCAGGTCCTCGCTTCCGCAAGGCGACAGATCGACAACCAGGGGTCAAACGAAACGTGTGGGGATTGAGGTTTTGAAGCGTGCCCGTGCGGCGACGGGCGATCACGGTTAACGCCCTACGGGGATGACCCGCAGGCGGAAGGTGGGGGGGAGTGCGGAAACGCAGAGCCCCAGGCGCTACCTGGACGGTAATCAGCCGTCGTCAAAGAACGCGCTGATGACTGGCACATGCCGGTGGCATGTGCCGGTGCGGGCATTCTAGCCTGGAAGTGACGTCACCGTACCCCACTGGTACGGTGACGGTACGGTACGGTTGGTACCCCACCCTGACACCCAGGCAAAAACGAGCGCGCTTTCCGCATCCGACTGAGAAGCAACAAAGTTACAAACAACATAGCGCAATGCACCGGCAGGACGATGGTCCGACGGATCCGCATCGCAACAAAGGTCCCATCTGCAACGAGCGCGCTCACGGCCGCTCGCCGCCGCCAGCCACAGCCGGCCGCCCACCTGTGCAGCGCCTGCAGGTGTCGGATCAGCAGGTTGAACAGCGACTGAGTCAGCCACTGCCAGCTGGCCGAGGCGCCGACCTTGACCTGGCCGATGACGTGGCGGCTGCCGGTCAGCTGGCACGCGATGTGCACCGTGCACAGCCGTTCTAAGCTGTCGCCTGTCGGTGTCGGCACGGGCGTCAGCCAACTCTGTCCTCACATCCTGACGCCTGCCACGGCCAGGGACAGCGGGCTGGCCGTCGGCTGCATAGCTTAGCCTGCTCCAACCCGCACATTTGCTTTAGAGGTACTATGTGGCTGTGAACAAAATTGTGACCTCTGACTGGCCATGCGTCCGCCCAATCAGGCCTGAAGCCGCTGCGTTAGCCAGTGGCATGGATTTCCCGCCGCTGCGATTGCTCAGTCAAAACACAGCTACACAAGTGGCGATGGACCACTGAAGACAAGCGGGCGTGACCGGTCTCCGCCGCGTACCCAGACTGTCCAGGTACAGCAGGCACTCGGGGCTGGCCAGCTGACGCAGGTTGGTGGCCAGCTGATTGCGCAGCGCCATCTTCAGCTGGGGGCAGTAGTCGACCAGAGTGCGGAGGTGCTGGTCCGAGACACGCAGGGCGGCCAGGTGCAGCACCGTGCTGCCAGACAGGTTCGCTGCGGCGGACGGGCGGAGACGCGTCAGGGCGACGCGCCGTCTCAGAGGTGCACCAAGGGGCGGCCGGGCGGTCAGCCGTCAAGGATCAGGAACCAGAGTCCGCCGCACTCAGCTCTCCACTGGTGAACAGTTCGCTGGTCCCGGAGCATACCCGGCCGGGAAAGCGCACACATTCACGTCTTTGGTTGTCCACGTGGAACGAGAAGACCGCAGCCGCAGCAGGCGGCACGAAGAGAACAGACCTGATGTGTTGCCACCGCAATTACCGCCACCGCCACCCGCAATTAACTCTCTTTTGCATTTATTAGTTGCCTGCTGCTGAATCACATCACATAACTGTAATTGGTAAATCATCTACCAGGGCTTTATTCCACATTGTCGGCACAAATCGAAAAACCAAATACAAGCACGAATTATCTCTCTTCATTTCAACGACCCAACATGATTACAGGGAAGAGCCCAATTAGCGTGCATCGCGGGATGCATAGCAGCCCGCCAATGCCCGTCTCTATCCTACTTCGCCCGGTCAGCGACCTCTGCACAGAACATGCCGGAGGGAGCGGTGCGTACAACGCGGCGACCCTGCATCGCGCTCGGGGCATCGCAAGTTCCGGCTCTTCTCACGGGCCCGTGCAAACCGAGCCCAGTCTTCCCACCCCAGGTGGGAGTGATCCCGCCACGGGCCGCCGCCAGCGGACGAGCGTCGGTGGCCGCGTCACTCCTGCCGCAGCGCCAACACCGGTTTCCTCTGGACAGATCACCGACGTAAACCGTACGACTATGCAGGCGTTTGAGCCCACCGGGGCTGAACGACCAATCAGAAGCCGGCCTCAGCCCACTGCCGCCGTCTACAGCTCCTCCCTGCTGTCTGCATCCTCCTCCTCATCGCTGCCGTCCCGGCGGTACGACAGCCTCCACCCCTCGGCGATGGGCAGGCCCTGCCAGAACTGCAGCCGCTCGCCGAACGCGGCCGTGCCGAGGCTGGGCTCCTCCGACAGGCGCATGTGCACGTCGGTCTGCTCCGCGTACGGCGGCCACTCAGGCATCGCTAGCAGCGTGGTGCCCGGCCGGCCCGTCTTCACGAACGTCGCCCACACGTTGGTGAGCGCGCGCGCGAAGCGGCGGTCCTGCTCGCTCTCGGGGAACGACGAGCCGGTGAAGAGGTAGCGCAGCTCGTCCTTGTGCGCGATGCCCCAGGGGAAGAACGGCAGCTCGCTGTTGCCGAGTCGCTCGGCCAGCACCGCCGGGAACGGCACGGTCGGGCGCTGCTCCATCACGTACTTGAAGACGGGCGCCGCGCCGTGGCGCGCCTGCAGCCGCACCGCCGCGTCCACGCCCGTCACGAAGTACCGGTCGCCCTCGGCGCGCACGAACGCGGCGGCCGTGGTGAGGCCGGGCCGCTGGCGGCCGAAGTAGAAGCGCCGCACGCGCCGGTACAGCGCCGCCGGATCGGCCTCGGCCTCCAGACCGAGCCAGACGGGGCCGGCGGCGTCCGGCCGGCGGCGCAGCGTCTCCAGCGCCGACGCGTTGGCCAGGCTGAAGCAGCCGAACGTGCCGCCCTCGTCGCGGTTGACGCCCGCCAGCCAGGGCACTGTGGTGATTTCACCGCGCTCCAGCAGCGTGCGCGGCTCCTCCGGCAGGAAGGCGTCGGCCACGTCGCGCTCCACCCGCGGCCGATACGCGAACATCAGCGGGTAGATGGACCATCGCCGGAAGGCCGGCTCCAGCGTGTCGATCAGCCTGCGCGCGGGCGCCGCGCGCAGGCACTCGACAATGCGGCGCGAGTCGTCAGTCGGACAGCTGAGCGCGGCCGCCTGCCGCTCGGCCAGCCGCCGCTGCTCCCGGCCCACCGCCCAGAACGACAGCGCCGACGCCGACTGCGAGACGGCGTGGCGGAAGAGGCCGCGCGACAGCGGCGACAGCATGTGCAGGTGGACGGAGGCGCCGCCGGCGCTCTCGCCCATCAGCGTGACGCGGCCCGGCGCGCCGCCGAACGCCGCCACGTTGTCGCGCACCCAGCGCAGCGCCTGCACCTGGTCGTGCAGGCCGTAGTTGCCGGCCGCGTGCTCGTCCTCGGTGGTCAGAAAGCCGAGCGGGCCGACGCGGTAGTTGAATGTGACGAGCACCAGGTCCTCGTCCATCAGCAGGCCGGCGCCCAGCTGCTCGGGCCCGGCCGAGCCGAAGTTGAACGCGCCGCCGGGGATGACGACCAACACGTCGCGCGCCGACGAAAACCAGCCGGGCAGCGCCGGCGTGTACACGTTGGCGTACAGACAGTCCTCGTCGCCGCGGAACGCGCCGACGTACAGCTGGGCGCAGGGCGGCGCCGGCCGGCCGGCGTCTCGCGTGCCGTTCCAGCCGGCCGCCGGCAGCGGGCGCCGGAAGCGGAGGTCGCCCAGCGGCGGCCGCGCGTACGGCACGCCCAGGAACGCCAGGTACTGCCGGCCGGCCACGCTCGTCTCCGTCGTGCCCAGCAGCTCGCCCTCGGCCACGCGGACCCGCGGGCGGTCCGCCTCCGCAGCCTCCGCAGCCGCCGCAGCCGCCGCCGCCGCCGCCAGCGGCGCCGCGGCGCACAGGAGGAGCAGCGTCCGAGCGAGAGCGGGCTGTGGCATCGCGGACGCTCAGGTGGGCACTGGCCGGCCCCGGGGCGCGCGGCACCGACGGCGATGGCGACAGTGGCGCGCGCCGGCCGCGCAAGTGTACCGATCGAGAGCAAAAACGCGACCAGGCCACCGAGCCGGGAGTCCAAAGGTTAGTCATCCGACAACAGATGGCCGCCCGCCCAATGACGGCCCGTTTAATGGCCGGCACAGGCATCGACAGCCACTGACCTGTCTGTTAAAAAAACGCATTACCAACGTCTGGCAGCTTGGTAATGAAGGACACAGACACTAGTTCCCTGTACATTCAACTGTACATAATTTCGATTATTGCGACAAACAAAGGCCCACCATTTTACAGGACAGCACCAAGCAAAGCATAGTAATGGGTAGATAACTGATAAAAAACATTGCACTAGGCACATGTAAAAACGGCCTAAATCAAGGAAGCTCACTTTAGGGCGATTGCCCCTGCTAGCCAGAGCCCTTGAAACACTCGTAAATTTGACTTCGATACCACCCATTGTGGAGCTTGGCGTCAATAAACAGGGAGCAGCCGCCTTCCCGTCTCCACCTGGCTCTTCTCGGAGAGGCCTACCCCGCGCCATCAGCGTAAATCTATATAACATCTGTGGATATTTTGCCGCCACCACGTCGCCTGTGTATCGTCAGCACCTCACCACGATCGCGTACCCTTCGCCTTTGCCCCGCACAGTGATGCCACTGAACAGACGTCACGCCGATCGTGCTCGCTCCGCCACACAATGGCGGTTATAATGACGATATCATACATAAATCCGAGTTTTTCGCCTCAGCAAATACCCGCCACCATTCTCACGCGGCGGCCACGGTGACGGCGGGCGGGCGAGCCGGCCGGGCGCTGACCCACCTTCAGTGAGGACGGGGATCATGTCGGTGGTCATGTACACCATCTGCCACTTCTGCAGCAGCAGGCGGAGGCAGCCGGCCGAGCCCACCGAGGCGGCCAGGTGGAACAGACTGTTGCCGTCCTGCAGGTCCGTCAGCCCAGGTCACGGTCGGCGGTCAGGGCGGGCGCCGCGGCGGCCCTCTCGGCCGTCGCCAGCGCGCAGTCGCGACACAACCCAGCCCGAGGGAACGACCGCGGTCTGGCGTCCGTGCGGTCGAACATGCCAGCGGTTCACGTCCCCTTGGCATGATGATATGGCCCCAGCAGGTACTCGAATCGGCATGCCGCAAACACAAGAGCACAACCGTCCAGCCGGTTACATCCAGTGCGCCGAGCGCGTCAATCTGCCCCTCTCTGCTGTTAAAGCCAGCTCGCATCGATCTGCCACCTCCGACCGCTCCTGGCAGGCCGCCACTGTCCGGAGGCGCGGCCCGGGCGCCGCCGCCCCGCGGCGCCGCTCACCTGGGTCCGCTCGGTGAGGTCGGGCGACGCCTCGAGCAGCCTCTTCACCTCGTCCTCGTCGGTGCGGATGATGGCGACGACGAGCGGCGACACGTCGGGCCGGGGGGCGGCGCCGCCGCCGGCCGGCTCAGCGTCCGGCACCGGCCGGCCGGCGGGCGTCCTGCGGGCGCGGCCGGCCCGGTCAGACCGGCCGCCGCCGGACCCCGTCCGGTCACGGCACCAGAGCCGGCCGGACGCGCGGCACAAGACCAGAGGACGGGAGGGCCTGACTCGACACGGGTCACGGCGCTGCGGATAAACCGACAGGCAACGTAGCCCGGGAACACCTGACCTGGCCAGGTCACAGGAATGCGCAGCCACAACTGCCGGCTTGACCCGACCGAGGTCACAGCGCTAGCGGTGCTGCGTCAGGCCCGCCGGACCAAACGCAGGTCACGGTGCCGGAGGACCGGGACACACTGAGCCGGCAGGTCGCAGCACCAGCGGCACACGGCAAGGGACGACCTGGCTCGCTGCGTCACAGGACTGGCTGCACCGGGCTGGGGCCCACACGCTGAGTAATAGCAGACATTACCTTCAACAGTGAGTCATCCACAACGCAATATCGTCTAAAGTCACCGCGTGCACCCACCATTGGAGCAAAGTAAGTAAGCCAGGCAGCTAAGAAGTGTCATGTGCTGGGAGCATGCCATATATTAGTGCAGGACTTAGTATGTATCGTCGAACATCATGCACAAGGAAAGACTGAGCGGCTATCTCAGTCTGAGCGCCCGCAAACCACAAGGCTCAGGGGTGTTAAAAACAGAACAACGGTCGAAGGTGCTTGTGTTTGTTGGTGTTTTGGTTTAATCGTGTCGAAAATTACATCGAAGGCGGACAAGTGCATACGCATACATACCCTGATCACCGGGAGGATCTGAAATTCGATAAACACACGTGGGAAATGGGGGCAGGTCATGCCAACGAAGCGGGTATGCCACTGCAGAAAGATACTGGTGTACGGGTCTACGAAGTAGCTAGTAGCTGATCTACCAGGCACGAGTTCATAGTTCTACGTCAGATTTACATGTCCCAATGCGTGCGCCAGCCTCAACTAAAAATGAAGATGGTTAACCCAGATGAAAAACTAACATCCTCCGAGCTCTTGTGGGCAATTGAGCGAGTGAGCAGGTGGGCGCGTTAGTCACACTAGTGAGCAAGACCAATGCATACAGAGCCGGGGACAGCTGGAAGAAGAGCGCCGTGTGGAAAGAGCAGCCAAGAAACAGGACGGAACATACGTACACTTACTGACTAGATGGCGGCGGGGCGGCGACCGGGTCTGCAGACGCCTGGCGGGCGCCCTCTGGCGGCGGGGGCGGCGGCGGCGGCGGCGGCTGGGTGGGTAACAGAGACGGGGACGCAGGCGGCGAGGGGGTGCGGGCGGGCGGCGGACACGTGGGCAGCGGAGGGGGCGGCGGCTCTAGCTCTGCGGCACCTGTCGGCGTGCGCACGGGCGTCAGCGGGCCGCCGCGGCCGAAGCCAGGGTCACGCGCCGGTCCGAGTCCGCGTTCAGACGAGGAGAAACAGTCAGGGCTGACCGCGGCGGCGTTAGCGTAGGGCAAGCCGGGTTAGTGAGGCGCTGCGGTGACAGTGCCCAGTACCGTGGGTTTGCGTAGTCGGGTTAGCCACCAACACACCACAGCAGTCCAGTGTTAGTCCCTACGTCTGCCAGCCCGAGTGTAAATGCACGCCGAACTCGGTGAACTTGGGAATCCAGAGCATAGTACGCTACCACCATGAAATAAGTACGTCATACACGCTGCACAGGCGAGACGAGATGCGCACGCGGTCTTAAATTCTACCAGAAGCTGGTTAGCACGACGATCGGGGTCAGTAACTCACACCTCATTCCAGCAGCGCTAGCGCATGGTGGAGCACATACTCCAGACACAGCCCGGCTGTCCCGTGGTTATGCCACCGAGCGGCAGCCGCGAGACCAATCGCGCCACTCCGGACCCTGGCACGACCCTAAAGGCGCCCGGACCCGGGAGATGGCCTGTCTCATACAGCGAGTCTGCCAGTTGAAGGTAGATCAACAGCGTGATCAGTGGGCTCAGGAAAGCCTACTTACTGTGTCTGAATTGGCAACGTCCAACTACATGACCACAATGACAGACAGCCTAATAACGCGTGAAACCAGACAAACTGCCTCTCAAAAGCCCATTCAAACAGACTAAGCCCAGGCACACACAGTCCGGACAAACACCTGCTGCCCCGCACCGTCCGCCGACACCGCCCGGACCGGCCGAGCGCGGTGCGCGGACGCTGCCGGCCGACGCAGACCCTCCCCGGGGCGGTGACTGCGGCGGGGCGTCCGCACAGCGCGGCGTGCCGTCCGTCGGTCTGTCGGCCCGGCCCACCTGAGCCCCGTCGACGCGTGCGCGACATGCGGCGTGCGGCGTGCAGCATGCGGCGTGTAGCATGCAGCGAGCACTGAGCCGACTGCCTGGCATGCGGCGTCACCACTGAGCGGCCCTACTTGCGCGCGCGCGGCGGCCGGAGAGGCGGCTACTGGTCGCAGCGCCGGCGGCCGGTCAGCTCTAGAACAGGGAGGGCAGCGGGCGCCGTCACCCCCGGCGCAGCCCGGCCCGGCCCCAGAGCGAGGGCGCAGCGCGCGCGCACGAGTGCCCCGCCACCGCCAGCGCCGCGCGGCGGCCGGCAGGCCCACATGCGGGATTGGGGGAGCGGCGGCCGTCCGGCACCGGGGGCCCCGGTGACGGGAGCGGGGCGGCGCCGCAGGGCGGTGGCCGGGTGAGGGGCGGGCGAGCGCCGGACCCTGCGCTCCAGATTAGTGGGGACCAGCACCTGACAACGGGCGGTGAGAGGCGGAACATGGTGCCACGAGCAAATGACGTTTAGTACGGGGACAGCGGTCATACGATTGCCGAGTCTCTTTTCTGTCAAACCGGTGAAGACCCGACTTGACAACTGTGATTCGTAATAAGCCGACAGTGCAGCGGGAGTGATCATGATTGCCACCGTATTCTGCCCTGTGCAAAAGCAGGCAGCGCTGTCCCGAAAAGCAAACAAGTGTGCGCTGTTCCCTTTGAACTGGGACACAGCAGCCAAACCCGGCCATGGCGGGTGAGCGAGCGCCAAACGACGCGACCAGCGGCCGCGGCGGGTCCGGGGCAGACGGGGCAGGCGGTGGCGGCTAGTCTAGTGCATACCTGCCATGCTGACGAGCATCTGCTGAAAATTGGCCAGCTCTGGTCCGAGGGGCTCGGCCAGGCCGGCGGCAGCGGCGGCCGGGCCGGCGACACCCACCTGGGTGGCCGGCTCAGCACGCGACAGGCCAGCCGGCTTGGCGGCCGCCGCCAGCGGCTTGTTGGGCGGCACGGCCGGCTTGTTGGGCGGCACGGGCGGCGGCACACCGCGCCCCAGCGGCGGCTTCTTGGCCACGGCCGGCGGCGGCGCGCCGTTAGGCGGCGGCGCCCCTGGCGTCGTCACGTGGAAGAGCACCTTGCCCGGCTGGGCGCTGCTGGCGAGCACCTTGGTGCCAGGCGAGGCGGTGACGGACACCCGCGGCGTCACGCGCACCACCTGCGGCTGGCCGGCCGGCGCGGCGCGCGGCCCGGCCGCCTCCGATGACGGCGAGCCGGCGCTGCGGCACGGGCACGCAGTCAGCCGACGCCGCCGCACCCGGTGGGCGGCGCCCGGCGACACACCGGGATACACTGGTCATGAGCGGCAGCGCCGCCTCCACGCCGCCGGCGAGGGATGGCACGTTCTTTACAGGGGCCCGCTTCAGCTTCAAACGTCAGTCGAATACGTGTGCCAACACCACCCGACCCCAAACGCGCCTCGTCACACGCACACGAACAGCACCCAACTATGTGCATCACACAAACACAGCACCACCCCAACTCCCCACATCCCTACAGCCAAAGCCACCCACTCTGTGTCGAGCCCCGGGCCCACCCGAGACGGCCGCGCCACAGCCGGTGGTCGGCACGCGGCGCCGGCGCCGGCCAGCCGCCTCACCTGGTGGACGGCGGCGAGGCGGCCACGCCGTACTGCACGTTCCGCAGGGCCACACCGGGCTGCACGCCGTACGCCACGCCCGTCACTGCGGCGCACCGGGCACAGCAGGGTCAGGGCCAACGGCCAATGGGGTGGCATGCTGATGTGGAAGGCTAGGCGGTGATGGCGAACATACGGTCAGCGGCGGTGGTGGGCGGTGGCCAGCGGCGGTGGTGGGCGGTGGTCAGCGGCGGTGGTGGGCGGTGGTCAGAGGCGATGGAGAGTGTTGGATGGGCAGCGGTGGCGAGCGGTGTGCCGCGAGGCGGCTTACTTCAAAACGAAGGAAGATGGGAATAGGCGTGTGAACGGGCGGTGCCGGAATTGATTAAAGACAAATGGAAACGGGACGAAATGCTGGGTGTTTTACGAGCACCCCGACTACTGGAGCCATTTCGCGCTCGAGAACAAAGGAAGCACGAAAGTAAAAAAAAAACAAGAGGAATGCAACAACGAATGGCATCCCCAGTATATATCGATAGACAAAGAGAAGGAAAAATGTCACGAAATTACACGAGAAAAGTATGAAGAACAAGTCACGATTATGTAACAGCACTATCGCGCTCAATCAAAGCACTCCGCATCTTGCGAATCTTGCCACTTCAGTGCCTAACACCGATGGTCGCCGAGGTATAACGAAGCCTTGCGAGTTATATGAACGGAAATATCCGATATAGGGATTTTAGTGAAAATATGAGAAAGAGTGGCGCATACCATACTAAAAAAGGAACAAATGCGCAAATAGGTGATTACCACGGGCACACGTGAGTGGGACAAACTTTTCACGTAAGACCAAGGAAAAGGAGCATTGTGACGTACTTACCAGGCCTTGCCAAAACCACAGAACACACAAAAAAAAACGTGCCGACAAACAGGCTGGCGGCAGCGGCGCGTTCACACAAGTTGACAGCACTTCCGGGACGACACAGCGGCCCTGGGCGCCGTCGCAGCCCCACCAGCCCCACCAGCCACCGCCACCAACGGGCCGACAGGGCGTCACACTCACTGGGCGCCGACACCGGTATGCTGGAGACGGTGGCCGTCGGCTGGACGGCCTTGGCGATGTTGGCCGCCATAGCGGTGAGGTCGTCGCCGGCCGGGCCGCCGGACGGCGAGGCGGCGCGCCGCAGCCCCACCTTGGGCGGCGTCAGCGCGGCCGCTGCCAACACGCCAGCACGTCAGCGGCGGCGGTCGGGCGGAGGAGCGGCGTCGGCGCCCCGGCAGACGGGCTCGGAGCGGCTTCGCGCCGGCGCATGCGCTCAGCAGCACCCATAGCCACACGGACAAGTATATATGAGAAGGATCGGTAAGTGAATACTCTGGATAATCATGAGGAGTGAAGTGATGCTCATACGAAAATGAGCGAATGCACTCTTACAAATCACAAAATAGCATTCCACAACACGAGCTACCACAGCCAGCCGGAAAAATTTCCAACTGACGCACAAATCTCCACGAATCCCCTTCTGCCATCGTCCACGTTGAGGTCTCTTGGACCGCTGTGCAAGAGCCTAACCAAGCCAGTACCACGGCGCCCTCTCTATCCTCAAGACACGACCACTACCTGACATCGCAGCCAGCGCGCACGCATAACCGAAACCTCCCCACCACGCAGTCCGTCTGCTCCCCGCCCCCACGCGGCCGGCGTTCCCTCGCCGACAGCGCGGCGCCTCGTCCGCGCCGCTGGCTGACCTGCGCCGCCGCCGGGCCGGACGCCGGCCGCCGCCGTCGGCTTGCTCGGCAGCTGGGGTGGCAGGGTGGCCGGTCCGCCCGGCCGCGGTGAAGTCGGCCCGGAGCCGTAGCGCGCCGGGCCGGCGCCGCCGGCACTGCCGCCGCTGCCGCCGCCGCCGCCGGCCGCCATCGAGTTGGCCTGCGGGGCCCGCGGTCAGGTCGGTCAGGAGCGCCTCGCGGTGGTTCAGGTCCACCACATGGCAGACAGCTGGTCTCCACGCGTGCACAGAGCCAACAGTTTTCTGGTACATCAGCCAATTATAACGGATGGATTCGATAAATTCACTCAAATAAAGTTTTAAAATAAAAACACGAGCATTACACCAATGGCGCGATTTGTGCGAAGCAATGGTAGGGGTAGACGAGTTACAGCTGACTACCATCAGTGTAAACGTCAAACCTCATACAGAACCCGCGCACCCGCACGGCCGTCAGCGCTGCCCGCGCCCGACCCGGCGCCGGGCGGGGCGCCGTCAGTTCGGCTGGCTCGCCCCCTGCCCCGCCCCCGCCCCCGGAGCCGCTACTCGTCCCCCCCGGCCCCCTCCCAGCCGGCAGCCGGCCCACGCACCTGGAACATGGCCACCTGGTGGGCCTCGGACAGCTGGTTCTTGAGCCGGTCACATTCGCGCTGCAGCCTTTCGTGCTCGCCCAGCAGCTCCTGGTACCTGTCAAAGGGCGATGGCGCACGGCTCAGGCCTCCATCACCGGTGACGTGGCCACACAAACGGTACGTGGTCCGCGTGAGAAGCCAGAACATCCAAATAAGCCTTGATGAGCCGAGCATACATTGCTGCGATATGAACAACTACAAGACGGGCATTCCTCATACGTCAAGAGGACGCAACTCCCGGAATTTTTTCAAAAGGTGGTTTGCTTTGACCCAACGAAACATGGATATCAATGACAGTTAGTTACCAGCACCGAGACACTTAGTTTACTCAGGCAAGATAGCTTTCAATTTCATGTTCATCATAACAAGCGAACCTATGGTCGTTAAACGGTGCTGTAGAGCGAATTTAAGCTATCAGCATTTTCACTGTCCTGGAAACTACACAACTAAAAGATTTATTTGATAAGCAAGGCACCTTGAACGCGTAAAAATCAGCTTAACCCTATTACTGCTAGGTACAGAAACCAACCCAGCAGGCCGGCCAACGCTGACGCAATATGCCCTAACTTAACTGGCGAAGCATGCTTCACAAGCCCCCGCACAAGCGAAACGATACCGGCACCCCCCCATAAACGGCCTCGCCGCCCCACCAGCGCAACGGTCGGGCCGCTTCGCAGAATGGCTGCGGGCCAGCCCGAGCGCCGCTCGCCAGCACCGACCCCGCGCCGCGGGCCGGGCGGCGCCGGCCAGCGTACCGTTTCTCCTCCCGCGAGAGGGCAGTCCTGAGCTGCTGCCGCTCGTTCGTGAAGTCGGACACGTGTCGCTCCAGCTCGGCCTCCATCTGGAGCGACTTCTTCGACTCCTCCTCCAGACCCTCGGCCATGTTCTCGGCCCGGCCCTTCTCCTCCGAGAGGATCTGACGGCGAGGGGGCAGAGTGTTACAGACGAGAACGCAGGCATGCATCGGCACGGGGACGGCGACAGACTCCGAGCGGACATGTCGGCAGAAGACAGAGCGTGCCAGACCGGGACAGGAAGCATCACAGAGCTACCCAGGGACAAAGACACGTGTGCCTGGAGATCATCGTCAGAGACGGGTGGGGTGACACAGGCACAACGCACAGGCACAGACAGATTGACAGCCCTTTCCGTGGAGGACCTGCCACAAACAGAGGTAAAGTCACGCATGTTGTCACACAGCCGCCGCCCTCTATGGCAGACATTTACATTCTGAAAGTGCAAGTCCTAAGAGCCCTTTGACACCGAATCCGGCTTTCCGGATAGGGTCCGGGTTGGACGCTCACCCAGTCCCATCGGGACTCTTCCCAGGGAGACGGAGTGAAGGCGGATGACATGGCGGAATAAACCGAAAGCCCGCGGAACCTAACCACAACCGTGGAGCTCAACAGCGCAGCACGACGAAACCGCGACCGACAATTTCACTATCGACACTTAACCGTGAACGCGAACCCAGCAGAGCGACGAGCTCTACAAACCGCCAAGAGGCTTCATAAACAAGCGTTTTCCCAGTTGAGATAGTATGAGTGCCATTGCCTGCCGTTGATAATGTGTTTGCCCCAGATGTCTTTTCTTCCGTGAGTCCGCTTTCCAGGCGACACCAGTGGTGTCGACTTCAAGACCTGCCACACGAACCACAGCGGTGTCGACTTCGACAGTTGCCACGCGAGTGATCATGCTCCATACCAGTGAGGTGGCATTCAAAAGTAACGCCAATGACACTGGTCGCGAGTCGTCGACTGAGCTCAAAAACGTCGAAGGCTCACACCATTACGCACAATCCATTGCGAGAGCATGCACCAAATATCCTCCTCCCCGCCCACTAAGTCCGTCTTGTCATAACAAAGCCACATCAACAAACAGCCGTTTCCGGACGAGTAAGGACCACCCGGCCGCGGCCGCCCACCCACGCCAGCGCTGCGGCGGCGGCCGTCCGACGGCTCCGTTCACGCCGCTCCGCCGCCGGCTGCCGCACGCCGCAGAGGCCGGCGGCGGCGGCGCAGCCCGGCCAGGCGCCGCGCTCTGTTTACGTTGGCGGCGCGCGGCGGTCGCTGTTTACCGCCGGCTGACCGGGAGAGCCGCGGCCAGCTGAGGAGCCCGCGCGCGCGCGCGCGAGCTCCGACACGCTGATGGCGCCAATGGCGGCTGGCGGCGGGGCCGCCGCGGTTTTTTGCCGTTGTTGTCCCGAGCGTGGGCCGTGAATAGGCAACTGGGGATGGGACAATCCACTCCATCTTGGCGAAGAAACGACACCACTTGGGCGCTACAGCTGGCGTGGCGACCGAATGAATGAAACATGGCCGCACTGGGCGGGGAGCGGGCGACTGCCACACGCTGGCAATGTCACCAGGAGTGCTCGTGCGGGGTACCCCGTGGCCGTGTCCACAATAGCTCGCTGCGCGCTAAACCGCAGCGAGCAGGGACACAATAAACTACCAGACACGTCCAGCACGACTCGGACGTGGGGGTGTTTACCGGGCTGGGTGCCGAGCGCGGGAAGTGTGTTTGCTTACGTGGTGGCTTTTTGTCGCTGTGGTGCTGGACTTTGACCGCGGAGTTTACCTTTGATTCTCCCGTCAATTCTGAGATCTGCACAAAACAGACCAACGTCCCGCGGCCGGCAAGGCTGACGACATTCTTCACGTGCTTCATCAAAACCCTGCCGTCAATTCTGTGATCTGCACGAAACAGAACAACGTCCTGCGGCCGGCAAGGCTGACGACATTCTTCACGTGCTTCATCAAAACCCTGCCGTCAATTCTGTGATCTGCACGAAACAGAACAACGTCCCGCGGCCGGCACAGCTGACGACATTCTTAACGTGCTCCATCAAAACTCTGCCGTCAATTCTGTGATCTGCACGAAACAGACCAACGTCCCGCGGCCGGCAAGGCTGACGACATTCTTCACGTGCTTCATCAAAACCCTGCCGTCAATTCTGTGATCTGCACGAAACAGAACAACGTCCTGCGGCCGGCAAGGCTGACGACATTCTTAACGTGCTCCATCAAAACATGCATTCCATACGGATGGCTTGGCACAGCATGCCAATCGCGCGGGCACCGATCCCGCCGACACAATGCGACCGCTCCGACAATGCAGCCCAATCCAGCGCGGACAATGCCCGCGTTGTCCCCGTTTCCTCGCGCCACGTTTTTCCAGCGGTCGGAATGTCGCTAGGAAGGTTTGCATTCGGCGGCGGCCGGACGGAAGTACGTCAGACGGCCGCCGGCGCCGCCGCGCCCGCCGCGCCGGGCGGCCGGGCGCGCACCTGACGCGACACTGGCTCCTGCCGTGACCCCGGCGCGACCGGTCACGCCCCCGCTCGCGTGACCTCCAGCGCAGCGAGCCCGAGGCAACACGGCCGGGAGTAAACGACATTACAGCCCGCTGCTTAGGCACGCTCGCCGCAGCTAATGAAGCTTAACGCTCGTACCCACGCGAGCTTAGTCGCAATTTCGCGCAAACGAACGTCGCGGAACGGTATCTTTGTCCCACGGCGGGCTACCGCTCAGTTCCACACGACCGGCCACCCGGTCAGCAGGCCGGAAGCCGGAGCGTGTCACGCGAGGCGCAGCCTGACCGCCCGCCGGCCCACTTCCGCCGGCGCGTCACATGGCACGAGCCACACCCGGTCGGTTGCCGCGCCGCCCGGCACGGGTCAGAGCCGGCTGGCCGGGCTCGCCCACGCACACGACCATTGGCGTTGGTCAGGGGCGGCGCCGTCGCTGCCAGAGAGCCTGCTCAGTGCTCAGTCCATGCCCGGCCGCTGGGATCTGTCACTGGCCAGGGGCGCGTCCAACACAGAATCCCAGTGGGGCACACGTTCCCAAAAGGGGCAACACGCCGTGAGTAATTACACGACAACCAGAAAAACAACCATACAAGTCATAATCTTCACGGAGTTAACGGGACTCGGAGCTGGTTGCCCCCTTCCCTTCCTGGAACCGCCATTGTCCCCGGAACCGTCGACAGGCTGCGCCAGCGCCGCCGGCCGCAGGCCGCCCGCCGGCCACCGGGGGCGGGCCGACAGCGTGACCTTGAGCGGGCCGGGCCGGGCCGCGGCGGCACGCGATCCGGCGCCGGCCGCCGCTGCGCCGGGCGGCGCGGCGGCGCGCCCGCGGCCGGCGCGCCCGCGGCAGTCGGCCGGTCAGCCGACGTCGGCGTGGGGGGCTCCCCCGCACGGCGGCGTCCTCCAGCGCCGGCGGGCGGCGCTCTGGCGAGTCGCAGAGCCCGCCCAGAGACCCGCTTCGGAGGAAGTGAGTTCAAGCGCGGCACGCAATCTCTGGGAGCTTGATCAGAAGGAATGCTATTCAGGGTTGCCTATTCAGCTCCTTGTCAATGGACGCAAGGAATGGTTGCAAAAGCCACTCTGCCACTCCCTAGGCAAGGCTTGTCAGAGCTCGGCTATACTGCGCATCGACCGACATAGCCCGGTGGACGCGAAGTATCAAAACCACAACGACCGCGTTTCCTGGCACCAAGGAGCCATTGGATCACTCGGAACAAAGAGCTCCGCTGGGGCTACTGACCACGTCGCAGGAACTGCGCAGTGAGGACCTGACCAGGCTGCCGCAGTGTCAGAGCCGATCTCATCACAGCCAGCTCACGCAGACCGGTCCTCCATCTCGTCCTCGCCCCAGCGGCTGGGCTGAGTCTGGCCACCGTCCCTCAAGGGTGTCCGTCTGCTCGCCCAGTTCTCTCCCGAACCCATCCTGTTGTACGGCGCCTGGGTCCGGTCGGACCAGACGCGGGACAGGTTGGCCTACCCCGTCGCCTCGTACTGCGCCGGGGCGGACCGGACCTCACTCGGCGCTCCGTAGTGTCCGCGCTAGATCGGTCCGCCGTTCGGCCACACCCATCCGTCCTCCGGCAGAGGCCGGCCGCACCGTACCTGGGTCAGGTCTTCGGACCGCTTCCGCTCCTCGATGTACTTGGTGATGATCTTCTTGCGCTCGGCCAGCAGCAGCAGCACCATGTGCTTCTGCCGGTTGCGCTCCTCCTCCAGCGCCTCGGTCGACTTTTTCAGCTCCTTCTCCACCTGGGGCCGGCGGGCAGCAAGATAAAGCGACGAACCAATGCTTCCAGCACGATGCCCGAGGCGCACAGAGTCGCGAGCGCCGGTAGGGGAAAGATCACCGGGCTCGAGGGGCGGATGGTTGGGACTGGGTTACTGAGGTGATAAGACAGAACTTGAAGTAGTTCATGGGATGGGACCGAACCAATGACTGTCAACTTAAACAAGACATGAGGTGTTTCGTGTACGAAAGCAATCACAAATAGAGCAAAATAAAATTCACATCAGATTTAAAATGGTGTTCCATGCCACTGCCTGACATTGATGGAAGATTTGGGCACCAGATTCTTAGGACCCCGCGACATGATACGGCCCTGTCCAGGACCTCAGCACTTTGTTCGGCCTCCATATCCTTTTGAACGCCGATCCCTGTTCACTTCAACATGCCACTCCACCCACGGCCGGACACGGCGGCCGTCCATCTGACCTTCTTCTTGGCCTGCCGCTCCGTCTCCAGCTCCTGCTTCAGCCGCGTACGCTCCTTCTCCAGCGCGTAGGTCACGTCGTCGCCCTGGGCCGTGTCGTGCGCGTGCTTGGCCTTCTCCTCCTCCAGTTCCTGCACCGCCTGCGGGCACACGGGTCGCGGCGTCTAGGTGGTGAATAAGGCGATCTCGACCACCAGCCGGGAGCCCGGTCTACTTGGAAAGAAATGTACTGGTGAAGACACATCACTGCAGGAACCACCATAAATCAGATGGCATAACGGTGAAATCCGCGGACGTAAAAAGAAACTGGATGCAACAAAAACGCATCGACCAATCTGATATTGCGCGCACTAAGGCTGTCTCACAAGGCATCGGTCGCAATGGACAAGTTCATTAAATTGCCTCACATTGCACACACTCGACGATGTGCACCTTCCAGTGCGCATTGTCATGGGATCTGCATTCTCAGTCTCAAAATCACACTGGAGCACGATCAGTTTGTCTCACTGCTGTGACCACAACCAGTGACATAAAGCAAAAGGTCCGTTTCCAACATCTGCAACGCCAGCGACGACACTCAGCTTGGTCATCTTATAACTTGTTCCAGCTAATTTAGCACTGCCCCACAGCCAGATTATTTGCCTGATTCATACTGTGAAATAACCAGGCAATACCCTTGGACCAGCCAATCAAGAACTTTGTCTCCCCTGCCGTCAATACAACCGTGCCTTCTTATCAATAAATGAATCGCAGCCTGGAAATATCAACGGCGCAAGAATGCGCGATCACAGTCACCTTGGTTCGTCCATGGCTCGACATCCAATTACAGCTGAGATGGCATCCAATACCCGCTGGAAACACATCACCGCACCTGATACATCCGACGGATTTATCGGGTGCGATAATCGGGCGAGGCGATCCGGTGCGATGATCGGGCGAGGTGATCCGGTGCGGTGACCGGGTGCGGTGATCGGGTGCGGTGATCGGATGTGGTGATCGGATGTGATAATTGGGTGCGGCGATCGGGTATAGTGATCGGGTGCGGTGATCAGGTGCGGTAATCGGGTGCGATGATTGGGAGTAGTGATCGTAAGCGTTGATCGAGTGTAGTGATCGTGTGCGTTGATCGGGTGCGTTGATCGGGTGCGTTGATCGGGTGCGGTGATCGTGTGCGGTGATCGGGTGTAGTGATCGCGCGCGGTAATCGGGTGCGATGATTGGGTACCGTGATTGGGTGCGGTATAGGGTGCAGTGATTGGCTGCGTTTATCGGGTGCGGTGTCAGACGCAGACACACCGGCGCCTCCAGCCCGGTAACCGTCTCGGCCACACCCCGTAGCTCAGCATCCTATCACCTAGAGCCGCTACCTCCGGGCGCTTCCCCGTGTGGCCCTACGACCCCTCACGTGCCTAACCCGACCCACATGATAAAAATACCACTCGGCTGCACCCACGGCAAACCCAGTGCCATGTCGCGTCGCGACAGCGGCGGCGCGGGCGGTTACCTTGGCGTGGCGGGCCTCGGCGTCGCGCAGGTACTGGGCCATCTTCAGCTGGGCGGTGCGCTGCGCCAGGATCAGGTTCTCTAGCGACGCCATCTGGTTGTCGGCCATGGAGCGGATGAGCGCCTCGTCCACCTGGGCGGCGGACGAGCGTCACAACCCTGCCCGCAGGCACCGGGGCCACACCAGCTGTTGGTTGGAGTGAGGGGGGGGCGAACGTCCGGTCTGCGACGTGACGACAGAGAACCTGAGAGTGTGACACTGGCTGAGCCGGGACTGCTCCCGCCGACACGGGCGTGGGAGGCCGTGACGCGAACGACCACGCACGTGCACACGCCGCGAACGGACCGCACGACCACACCCCATTGCACACACCCGCCCCGGCTGCCAACATGCAGCCGGTCAGCTGCACTGCCACCGGTCTGGTGACCAGCGGGCGGTGGCCGCGCGCCGCTCCGACACGCACCATCTGGTGTTTGACGTTGGTGCTGTCCCGCTGCAGCGCCATGGCCGGGTCGGTCAGGCTCAGCTTGCCGTAGCGCGCCTGACACAGCATGTGCTTCACCTTCTCATTCTGTGGGCCCAGGTCACGGGGAGGTCACGGATAGCTGACAGGTCGCGCGCGATCAGACTCCAACTCGACGCACGGTCGGCATATATTTGGCGAAATATTTATGCACAGAAAATCAGCTGATACTGAACCATGTATCAAAGCCAACAGTGCTCATGTGTCATCTGCAATTAATACTTCCACACTTTTTCAAGTTTTCTCCTTGGGAAATCTCACAGCCTGCAAGTCATCAGAGCTTGCATGTGAATCAGAGGATGAGAAAATAAAATTCCTTTGCATGAGCATGATATAAAGTGTAATATGGTATGTGCACAAATGGCAGGTTCCAGAGCATCAATAGTCATACCTTCAAAGTTGCAATAACGATATCACGAGCCTGCAGTTCCCCTTCCAGACAGCTGAGCAGCTTGAGCAAATCACCTTTGCTAAGTTCCATTTTAGGGTTTCTCTGAAACACAAACATTTGTTAATACATGTTCACTTTGGCAAATGGTGGGCTAAATGTACAGCACTTTCAAATGGGTGCAAATTCACAAATCAATATCATTATCACACAGATGTGAGGTGCTAAAATGAATCAAACTTGAATCATTTTACTGCAGAAAATAGCTATTCAAGCACTCTAAGCAATATGAATGAAATCAAATAAGCCTCACCCCATCTTTACACCTCTTGCCATGTTTCTAAGGCTTCATCTTTAAACATATGGCTTAATCACTGTCAGCTACAACAAGTCACTCAGTTCTGCCATTCCATAGTGAGAAAACAAAATATGATATTGGGGGGCATATTGTGAAATACACTGTAATGCTTACAATGCCAATGTGTGCAGTAGATGGTGGCTAAGCCTGGCAGGCAACAGCTTCAATTACATATTGCTGTATACCTTGCAATCTAATGCATTCCAGCCTGGTTGAAAAAGTGAATTTCCCAATGCTGAGCAGACTTTGCAAATCAATGCAATAAGGTCTGCTGCAGTCGAATTGTTAACTTAATGACAACTCAGTAAACTTTATCCCCCATGTTATCCATAAAATCTCATACTTTGAAGTGGAAATGTCTGAACACTTTGGCCATATTGTGCCCACAGCATGGTTTCCTGCTTCTGATTAACCACACATTTTTGGAACCCTTTTCTCCTTCACGTGCTGAGAGCAAAACTCACAAAGGACTCAAATGCATGCATGCAGGTGGTATATACAGCATCAACATAACAATCTTATTTGCCACAACCTTTAAGCAATTTACTACCCACTTGGTGGCCAGTCTAGGTTCCAACTTCTCATTACATAAAACTGCCTACAAGAGCAGATGAATGGGATTGACTAACAGTGCCATCCTCAGGTTTTGGAAAATATCTACATTCCCTATAATTTCTCTCCCTGAGCCTAACTTCAGTGCATTTGGTGCTAGAGAAGAACTTTGATCTCCTCCGCATATGAAGCTGAATCTGTCTCTGGCCACACCAAATTATGTGGAGACAAAGGGAAGACATGTTGTCACAGTTTGGTACATAACATCATCACATCTTTTTAGCACATTTTTAACAGTATGGTGCAGCAAACTATGCTTGAAGTAGCTTTGATACCATGATACCATATATATTCATTTATACCCACCAATAATACCCACCATTGATCACTTTAAGAAGGACCTGACCATTGGGTTCAGAAGTTAATCCAAAACAACACACCACTTATTTAAGTATCCTTATGCATTCTGGTTCTAAACATATATTTCCAGTCATGTGATTCTCACTCAAGTAAAACTGTAAGGACAAGTTTGTGTTTTTAACAGCTAGGAATTACTAGAGTGGGACAAAAAGTTACCAAGCCCATCCACAAAAAATCATGACAAACACCTTAATTTCAGTTGATTCACAACCACAGTACTCATCCACCAATATCTTGGGAATAAAACTTCAGGTCTGTGCACTGGCAAGCAAATACCATAAGAACAATGCATCATTGCTATAACCATGGCAGGTCAGTGTGGCATATGTAGGCTAGAATAAAAATGGCAAATAAGAGAATGTGCTAATTTCAGCAACATTATGAGACCTTACAAACACATGCCTTGAAAGCATGTGATCATTCTTCATATTCTCATTTCAAAAGCACATTCTACATGGCTGAAAAGCATCAACCGCTTTCATTGTGACCAATGAAGAACCAGCTGACCACACAACATTTGCTAATGCATTAAAATTAAAGGACTCATCCCAATCTGCTTACCTTCAATGTTACAGGATCAATATCTGGAGGCTCATATGTCTGCCCAGAGTCATTGGCTGTTGCAGCTGTTTGTGCATCTTTTGGAATTGCTCCATGTGCACTAGCACCACCATTACTTGATGAACTTGAAGACATCTTGGAAGCCATGTTTTGCAGAACCAGTACTTGCACCACACAAATTACAACAGCATTATATGACAATAGAAAACTAACTAGGTGTCACACAGGATCCACTTATGTTTCAATCAAGTGACAAATGCACCTTGAAGGGTATTGTGGAGCATCATTTGTCAACATATGTTCAGGGAACACATTTTATGCAGGTCACTCATTCAGCATCATGCCCCCATGATCTCTCTAATCTCAAAAGGTGTCTGCTATCGGTTTGACAGCAGTAATCTCGCAGTAACACAAGTTATTGTCTTTTCACTTATGTTCAAGCACCATGGCAGACGAAAGCGGCTCTTCTATTGCCATCAAGATCCCCATCCACACTCCTCTGACGACACGCTTGATTATGTTTCCTCCGTGTAACTGTAAGCGAATCAACACTGCAAACAATTGAGCTGGCAAAGACTTTCCGCCACAGCAAGTCTGATACCGCGGTTTACAACTTTGCACTGTCACTGATCGGGCAATGCAGCGCCACCGCCATCGCCCACTTTGACCGTGACAAAAGCTTCACTTCGGTGAGTTGAGACGAGGTAGCTAAATTCAAAGCCCTGCCCTGCGCTTGACAGTTTAGTGGCCTTTTTCTTGATTGAGTTGATGAATTCTTCCTTCATGATTCTAAGAGCCTCAAACATATTAACACTTGCTTAGAAACATCTAAAATCAGTAACGCACTTGAATTTTAAAGCTCTGTGACGTTTTCGTGGCATCGTTCCGCAGGTATCGTTGTCCTTTTGAAGGGCCTGGCGCGTCAGACCTAGTAATAAGTTGGGCCGGCACGAGTCTCCTGTCCCATGGTTCAGAGGCAGCAGATCATGGAGGGCCTCTCAGACTATGCAGCCTCGCTCATAGATCAAGGAATTGGGCCCCTTCCCTCTTCTCGCGGGGACCTCACCACCTCCACGGGAGAGCATTGGTTCCTTTCGGATCGCTTGAAGACGCCTTAGAGGTATTTTTGGTGTCACGAGAGCACTTCACTAGGACTCCGTATAATGACACTTGGTCACAAAACCCAGTGATGCCAGCATAATGTCATGCGTGATGTGGAGCGAAAGATCGGTAGTGGCAGAAGATGGGCTATGATCGGGGCGGGGGCGGGGTGGGAGAACAGCACTTGTACATCGCTTATTTCCGTGCAACGTCATAGGGCTAGTCTTAAATACCCCCGTTCCTCCTCGGCTGGAACGCCTATATCATTAAATGCACTGCCAAATCCTGACTTTATGCGGCTGGGCTTCCATCGAGTGAGCTTAAGAAGGCCACAGCGTCTCCGTACGGCTTGGAGGCCTCACGGAGGCGGGGCACAGCGGCGGGGTGGCCGCCAGACTCGGGGCGCTGCCACCAGGCGGCGGTGACACTCGCTACCAGCCAACACCAGTACCGCCGCTAGGCGGCGAAGAGTTCTGCTCGCCCCTGCACTGAAGCGTTCAGACGGCGTGGGAATCCTCGTTCAGCGACGAAAGCATTTTCATCGCAACCATACCAGCTTATGTAGTACATCAGCTTTTTCCATGGTCCCGTCAGGGGCGTGGTTCATGCCTAGGGACTAAACAACTGATGAAGTGGTACCGGGATAACGAGAAGGTACAACGCGCTGGATTGGGCGTCGACTGACCTAATGCACTGCAACCAAGCTGCACACTACGCTATCATGATTTTGTTCACCAGGACATTATATAAAAGTTTCGTGCCTCGCCCAAGTACCCGACAGGAGCATGGTATCACGATGTCACGGCGGTTCGTATGCACACGCTAGACAACAATATAGCTTTTGCAGGTGGCGAGAGTCGCTTCGCCATGTTGTGGTCTGCACCATTTGTGTGACGGCGGTGAGAGCGGCAACAGTGCAGCGATATTTTTAAAGATCGTTAGCGTTGCGCAAAACAGTCCAGAGCGGAGCCTTAGATTTACAAAGTAGGTTCCTATTCCGTTGAAAGGCCTCCGCCCCCCCCCCCCCCCCCCCCCAACAGGAGAAAATGAGCCAAATCCGGGAAACCCTTATTGTTGATGAATTTCGAGGGTAAGTGCGTCATTTTTCACTGCTCAGCGCACTCCTGAGCTTATTTTTCGAACCTGCACCCTTGCTGCGGTGCGGTACGTAGCGAGCCTGTCTTATTTCTTTTTTGCAGCCATTGGAGACGCCATTGTTATTTTCCTGTTCTTAAAGATTACTTAAGCGTTCTAGGATAGGTTTCTGGGTGTCATTTAACCGATGGCTATTTCACCGAATGTGAAAAACATGAATGCTTTTTATCGCCATGTTGAAAACTCCAGAACAAAAAGGCGGAGTGTATGTTGCCGGCGTGTGTTTTTGACGGCATTCAAATTGTTAAAATGCAATGGCATTGTTGAAATGCAAACACGTTAAGACACTAATTAAACGAAAGAAAATTAGGCGAAATGTCCTCCACAAGCACGTCAACTAGAGTTCACAATGAGCGGTTCATGGATGATGTGAAGAAAAAAGGTCACATGGGCTGATGAGCAATTAGCGTTGTCAGCCGATAGTGCGCCCACGATGCAATTGTGCGCGCATGGTCGCGCCATGCGCGCATGAGTAATATTATTTTAAACTGTACATGCAATGCCTGCAGATAACCGCCCGTGCGGCGAACACGCCAGCATTTGTGTTATATGTTGTGTGTGGGCGTGAGGGTGCAGGTAGGGGCTGGTCGACTACATAATATATTCTCTTTTCGGAGATGTGTGTTGAACTGGCAATTGATAACCCTATACCAGTGTTATCGAATGAATACAGTCGTACTATTTGTGCGCGATTGTAACTTTTTCTCGGGCCGCCACATTCTCTCAGTACTTCTGCCGGCCGGCCGGCCGCAGTGAACTATGCGCCATCGAGGGTTGATTTGAACACAGCAGGTCATATCGGCCATTGAGTTATGTATATTGCCGGTTGATGCCGCTTCCACGATGGCATTGTGTGCGCATGATTGCACTCTTTGCGCAATATTAAGTTTATTACAAATTGAACGTCGTATCTCTGAAAATCAACGTTGCGGCCGGTCCGCCAACATTGATTGATACGTTGTCGGGGACAGACTAGACAAAATCAAAACCGCAGTCCGACGAGTGTGCTGAATTGGCAGCCGACAGCCCCAGGCGGATGCTGTTGAAGGCACATAGTCGCACTCTTAAGTGTCATTGTAAGTATTCTCCCGGGTCTCCATATTCTGACAATCACTGAACGGGAAGAACGGCCGCATTTAACAGTGCGTCGTTAAAGGGTCATGTGAACCAAAAAGGTCATGATGATGATGTCAAGGTCAAGGACGATGATGGCTGGCGGCTGGCGGGCCCGCCAGTATTGATTGCTATGCTCTGAGTAGTGCGTCGACTGGAAAAGTACATTGCTCAATCAGGGGCGTGTTTTGTACTGGCAGGTGACATACCTATGCCAGCGTTATAGAACAGACAAAGGCCCATCGGTCGCACACGATCATAAGTTTTTTTTGTTCCTGGCTGCCATAACCTAGCAACGGAATCACGCTACCGGCGGGCCGGCCGTTATTGGCTATGTGCCGTCAAGGGGTGACTTTAACGAAGGTCACGTCGGCCGATGAACATTTTGCATTGCCGGTCGATAGTAATCGCATAATGCCGTTGCGCGAGTATGATTGTACCCTCAACCCACAAATAACACAATATTTTAACTTCGACACTGGACATTGAATATCTTTGCAAATCGCCGGTTCGCCCAGCCCACAAGTGTTGGCCGAGATTGCGTGATACGCTGTCAGGGGTCGACCGAATAAAATCGAAATAGTAATCCCACGCGTACGTTGTTCTAGCACCTGATGACCCTATACCTACGCAATACAACGAACACGGTCGCACACTTGGGAGTGTGAAGGTCAGTATTATTCCAAGGCCGCCTAAGAATGATGACCGCCCGCCCACTGATGCCCAAGTAACATGGGCATCAATCTACAGCCAGGCCGACCGCAGTTGGCACTGATGGTCTAATTCCAGCGCTATATACTGAACGGTCGCACTATTTGCGCGCGAAGGCGCATTGTTTGCGCGCGAAGGCGCATTGTTTGCGCGCGATTATAAGCTCTCTTCCTCGGTCATCGTATTCTGATCACCACGCTACGGGCAGGCTACCTACAGTAAGCCATGTACCCTCATGGGGATTCGAAAAAGGCCATGTCGGAAAAAAAGCTGTTGCCATTGTCTGCCGATAGTGCTTCCACAATGACATCGTGAGCGCACGATTGCACACTCCGTGCACAAGTAAATGTATTTCAAGACGGACGACGTAATTTTGCAAATCGACCCTGCTGCCGTCCCACTAGCGTTGAGCGATACGCTGTCGAGGGGTCTACCAAATAAATCGAAAACAAAATCCAATGAGTGTGTTGTCCTGGTAGGTGCTACCCCAACATCAGCACTACAGAACACATACAGTCGCACCGTTCGCGCGCAATTATAAGTCTTCTTCTCGGGACGCCGCAATCTGGCCGTCGGGTCATGGGTGGGGTGACCACAGTTTCCTTTGCGTCATCAAGGGGTGAATTGTAAAGATCACGACGGCCGATAAGCTGTTGCTGTTGATGTTCGATAGTGCTTACATAATTACGTCATGTGCACAATGTTGCACATTCTATGCAAAAGTCGATGTATTTTAAATTGAACGCCGTATTTTTGCAAATGATCGCTGCGGCGCACACGTCATCATTCAGTCACACGCTGTCGGGGTCGACCGCATAAAATCAAATTAATATCCGACGAGTATGCTCTATTTGGCATTTGATGACCTTGTAACAGCGCAATCGGATGCGCACAGCCGCACTATTCGTGAGCGATTATTCGCATGTTTCCCGTGCCGGCGCATTCTGGCCGTCAGTTAACGGGCATGTTGACACCAGTTAACAACGTGGCGACATCGCGTAATGTAATCAAATGGGTCCTGTCGGCCGATGAGCAATTTATATTCCTGGCTGATGGCGCCTCACAATGGCGTCATGTGGGCGTGGTTGCCCCCTCCGCTCACGAGTGAAAATATTCTAAATTTGACATGGTGTCTTTGCAAGTTTCCCCTGTGGCCGGCCGGCTAGGATGAATGATGTGTCGTCGGGGTCCGAACAAATCAGTTTCCTTAACAGAAGCCGTGTGTTTTACGGGCAGATGACAGCACTTTACCAGGGCTACAGAATGCACGCAGCTGCACTCTTCATGCGAGTTGTGAGCATTTTCACGTGCCACCGTTGCTGGCTATCACTCTACGAGCAGGCCTATCGCAGTTTACAACGCGACGTCAACAGGTGATGTGAGCAAGCTAGGCTATGTCGGTCGATGAACAATCTACATTGCTGGCCGATAGTGCTTCCACATTGGTGTCGTGCGCGCGTGGTTGAATTCTCTGCGCACAAGAAAAAACTAAAATCGCGCGTGATATCTTTGCAAATCGTGACTTCCACCGGCCCCCTGGCATGGCTTCAAATAAAGTGTCATGCTGTCGAGGAGTCTATCGA